ATGTTTCTTGGGGTTGTCATTCCTCAGATTCTTTTGGGTCCCTTCTACTAGATTTACTCGATGATATAAACATAAGTGTCTTGAATAATGGTTGTCCTACGAGAAGGAGTCTTCCATCTCAGAATCCCGCTAACGCAGTGGATTTATCACTTTGTTCTCCTGATCTTTTCCCTTTTCTATCCTGGCGTGTTTTTAAGAGCACTTGTGGGAGTGACCACTTCCCCATTTTAATTGATCTCCCAACCAATTTAAGGAGCGTTACTCGCCCTTCCCCTCTTTTAAAATTTAAACTGAATCAGGCCAATTGGTCAGACTTTTCATCTTCTATTGACTCTAAGATAGCTGCGCTCCCCGCAGTTTCTGTTGAAAACTGCCTATCTTCATACAATGATTTTGTCAACTCCCTCACCTCATCTGCCAGTTTACATATTCCACTCAAATCTTCTACACAAAGGAAAATTTCTCCTCCTTGGTGGGATTCCGAATGTACTGAGATGATTCGAAAAAGAAAAACGGCAGAAAGGTCATACAGTCTTTGCATGACCTTGGAAATTTTTAGTCTACCAACAAGCTTCTGCAGCTGCTCGCAGACTTCTTAATAATAAGAAACGTCTTGGTTGGCATAAGTTCTGTGAGAGCATGTGCCCTGGTACCCCTTCGTCTGTTGTTTGGAGGCAGATCAGAATTTCCGTTGTTCCCTCAATTCTTATGATGTCCCTTTTAATGATCCGTCTAGCTGGATTACCTCCTTTGCCGACAAATTGGCTCCTCCATCAGTCCCTTTTTATGATTGTCTTCCTTATAAGTATAATTCTTACATCCCCTCTTCAAACAGTCTAGATTGTCAATTCTCCTCGGAAGAACTTAACAAAGCATTAAATGGTCTCTCTGACTCTTCCCCTGGAGAAGATGGAATCCCTTACTCATTCCTCATAAATTCTTCATTAGGCACTAAGAGGTACTTTCTAGATTTAGTAAACTGTTTTTTCGATCTTGGAATTATTCCTGAATCGTGGAACAGACAAATCGTCATTCCGCTTCTAAAACCTGGCAAAGATCCATCAGATTTCTCTTCATACAGACCTATTGCTTTGTCTTCTACCCTTTTAAAAATTATGGAACATTTGATTAAAATTCGTTTAGAATGGTTTTGTGAAAGTAACAATATCTTTGCAAAATCCCAGTTTGGTTTCAGGAAAGGCTTAAGTACGATGGATAGCCTAAGTATAATAACGACCGACATTCGCATTGCTTTTAAAAAGAAACAGTTCCTGGTGGGTGTTTTCTTGGATATCGCATCTGCGTATGACCACGTGCTGGTTCCAGTGCTCAGGCAAAAAATGCTTCAGCTGAGTATTCCTGAGAAGTTGGTACGTTTTGTTTGCAATGCAGTTTCGAATCGTTATATTATTATAAGATCTCAAAATACGGAGCTGTCTCCTAGATCTATTTGGAGGGGCTTACCTCAAGGTTCTGTTTTGAGTCCTCTTCTGTACAACATTTACACCTATGACCTGGAGCTTGTTGTGAATTCCTTCTGTCAGATTCTTCAATACGCGGACGATGTAGCCTTATACTTTTCATCAAATTCTATTGAAGAGGCATCATCACGCCTAAATTCGGCTTTGGATTATTTGGGTGATTGGTTAAATGATCATGGTCTCTCTATTTCTGTGCCCAAATGTTCGGCAGTCACATTTACTACAAAATACAAGGTTCCACGGTGTAACATTTCATATAAAGGGTCCTTGGTATCGTGTTGTAAGCAGGTAAAATTTTTAGGCCTTATTTTAGACTCAAAGTTAAACGGTGTTCCTCATTTTAACCATGTGATTAAAAAAAGTGAGAAGGGTGTTAATGTTCTCCGTTCATTATCTGGTGTGAGGTGGGGAGCACACCCCTACTCGCAAAAGCTTTTATACAATGCTGTGGTAAGAAGTCATTTTGATTATGGCACCTTCCTTTTAGATCCTGGCAACAAGCAAGCCCTTGATAAAATTTCCAAAATTCAATCGAAATCTTTACGCATCATCCTTGGTGCTATGAAATCCTCTCCCATCAATGCTCTCCAAATAGAATGTGTTGACCCCCCCCTGTATTTACGTAGACAATTTTTAAGTGACCGCTTCTTCATCAAAGTCCTTCAATACTCTTCACATTCCATCTTGTCCAAATTACGTCGCTTATCTAATCTCACGATGCCATCTAGTACAGGTAATGTTCCATGCCTGTTATACAGTTTTAATAAACTTTCTCGTCTTCCTAATCCTATTGAAAGTTTCCCTAGTAATCCCTTGTTTTTAAATAGTTATGAATCCCTCATTTTTGATCCTAAAATAATTTTAAACTTTGGAATTGAAAAAAAATCCACCCAAGCTTCCACTTGTTTTCTGGAAAAAATTTCAAAAGACTGGCAGGGTTGGTTACCGATGTATACTGATGCTTCCAAGATTCCCAATAATGAGTACATCGGTGCGGCTGTATGGGTTCCTACATTCAAAACAGTATTGAGCTTTAAACTTCCTCCATTGACCTCCGTTTTTTCAGGTGAAGCTTTTGCAATCCTAGAAGCGGTTTTGTATGCTGAGTCCCACAACCTAAATAAAGTTACAATTTTTTCCGATTCTCGCAGCTGTTTACAGGCAATTCTTTCCAATCCATTCAGGTCTAAAAAAAAACATAATACTATTCTAAAAATAAGAGAAGCTTTGTTTAGGTGTAGTAAAAAAGATATTCATATTGTACTTTTGTGGATACCTAGTCATTGTGGTATAGCGGGTAATGAAACTGCTGACTCTTGTGCAAAAGGTGCTATTTTCTGCGGATCTTGTCAGCATCCCAACATCTCGGCCCACGACCTATCAGCTCTTGCGTACTCCCACCTTTTAAAATCCTGGACTATTGATTGGCAATCTTCTAAAGTAAAAACTGGCAGGCACTATGCTAATATTCAGTATTCAATCCCTTCTTCGCCGTGGTTTTTTAAATATAAGTTTTTAAACAAAAAGGTCACGTCTATAATCTGCCGTCTTCGTATAGGGCACGCTTGTACTCCCGTGCATCTAGCCAAAATTAAAATTAAAGACAGTTCTCTCTGCGAGTGTGGTATGGACGAGGGCTCGACAGACCACATATTTTTTAACTGTTCTTTAATTAATGACTCGTTATTTGACCATCTTTCTTCAGATTTCCCTCGTCCATGTAACCTTAACTCCCTACTTTCCCTCCCATCCAGCTCGATCGTCAAAATTTTAGGGAAATTTATTTCTGTTAATAAATTAAAGTTATAAATAAGATTCTCCCCTCCATACCTTGTAGTAAAATGTTAACCTCTTGTATATATTATTAGATGTCTGTGTGTGTTGTATTTATTGTGATGTCATTTTTGTTTTGGGTAACTCTGCTTAGATAAAATTCAATCTATCAAAATTATCAAATCTATCCTCACTGTGTGAAGACTTAGAACGTGACATTGGCGGAATTGTGATTTACACAGATGTCGCCATTATAAATAAAGTGAAGTGAAGGCAATAAAAAACTTTATCTTTTTACTTTTTTATATCTTAGTGAAATTCACATTAGACACATTGTCCTCATTATTGATTTTGTTATAAATTTCCTGGTCATGGACATCTTCAAATTGACAATCAATTCAAACTGTGTTGTAAAATTTCTTGAAATGTTATTTTTTTTTTTCTTATTGATAATACAGCTCCAAATTCATACCATCATGAATTTCATCTGATTCTCTAGTTAAGTAAAATTATATTAGAATACAAGCAATTTTAAAATACAACTGTCTCCACCCTTAATATTAAGTTTTAGGAAATATGTAAGAAAAGCCAGTTGTATGGGACAAAGACACCTGAACTTTTAGATGGTCACAATAGAAATAGGCTTATAGAATAACTTAGGGTTCTGTTTATAAACACACATTCATATTTGTAAGTTATAAGTAAAAAACTTACATATATATAGATATATGTCAGTTTTTTTTTCGAGAGGTACATGCAATGCATGGTTTTTACTAGGAAATTTAAACTATGCTGTTACGTTATATATATTTCAAAAGGATACAATCTGAAAGTCTGATATGGTCTTTAAACACAGTATACCATTTCTTCAGAACAATTTTATCGTACCTGGTTCCTGTTTGTGCTGCTATCAACTTTTTAAGGTCTCCAACAGTATCGTCAGGATTACATTTTACACGAACTTTCTTTCCTAATCGGTCGTTACATGTAACTTCCAGCATTTTCTGTATGTATAAAACCAGGAAAGTTAGGTTTTTTATTTAATTTTGAAATATATGATTTGTTACAAACCAAAATAATAACAGGATACCTTTTCTAATTTCCTAGTAAATTAAACAAGCTTAAGGTTAATACATCAGTTTATGAACTTATTACTTAACCAAACAACAAAAGGTAATATTATTTTTGAGTTTAGAGTTACAATAAGTTCACAGACTAAACAACATATGTATGTTGGAATTCAGTAGTCACAGTTTATCTGAATTATGACGTCTGTCAGTCATCAACTCACAGATGACACAAAAGTATATAGTATAATATAAATTGATGTTTCTTTTTTATAGTAATGTTAGAGTATGAAACCGTTTTACTTAGTTAATAATTTTACCAAATATTATATGGCCTAGTGGAAATATCTCATTGTAAAACGAGATTTGACATCACTAATTTTGACATTTATAATTGAATAAAAACATCCGGTAAAATAAATCTTAATTATTTAAAACTACCTTCTTAAGCTATGTTTAAGTCAATTACTTTTTTTTAATAATAAAAAAATATGATATTGTTTTTAATTAAAACTACTACGCGTTTATTATCTTGTTACATCATTATTAATATATAAATTCCTTAACTGATCAGGAAGTGTATCCAACTGTCCACACGTCATTCGACGGCCGACAGCGACAATCTTGACGACAGTCTGATTTCGTTGCAGTGGTAGTGTTAGTGAACTTACGGTGAAAAATGCAGATTCCTAATGAATATGTGTCTACCGCTGAAGATGTCGCCGACCAGGTGAGCACAGCTGCAATAATATTATTTTGCGTAAAGTAAACCACCAGATAATGCCGTCTATCCTATGTACTTTCATAACTTTTGTCACGTCACTGGATAGGTTTTCTGAATCTCTTATATTTCTTATCTCAGTATGACAGTCTTAAGCATTTATAAAAATTCACTGAAATATAAAAACCAAGACATTTCACATGGCTAAAAACACAAGATATGGTTGTTCTTATAGTGCCAAAAAATAACTCTACAGGTGGAGTGGAAAACGGAAATTAAAACTTTTCAAAACATGTTTATTTCCTTATTTATTATTATAAGTTTATATATAGAGACATATATTTAATATCACATAACGTCTTTAATTTATTCAGCATTACTCAATAAGTGAAAGTGTATGAGATAAGAGAACCATAGCAATAGTTTTATATATCTATATTTAAGTCCATACATTTTAATTCTTAGGATGGTGTTAAAACAATGTTGATAAAATAAAAATATTTTCACACTATATAATCTTTTGTTATGGGTGTTTAGATACTTTAATAGTGGCCTTTTAAGGTGACATACATGCTCTATTTCTTTATTCCCCAAAAACAATTATACAAGTTGCCTTGAGGCTTCACAGGTCTCTGACTTACTAGGGAGGCCTCAATCTGAATTCTAGTGTACATAGCTAAACAAATAAAGAATTTAGAATTTTAGATAATGTTAATAAATTTGTTGATCTTCTTTATTAAATTTTTTTTTGTTTAAAGTTTAAATTATAAGTTTTACGAAACATTTCTTATCATGCTATCTGAGGTAATGAATTTCAATATTCATAATGGACATGCTTATCTGGTGAAATAATTAACATGTATTTCTAAAAGATTAAGTTTGTTATGTAAGTAATTTGATAATGAATAAAAATAAATAGTTAATTTTTTTAGGTAATAAGAAAGGGCAAACATATCCTGCCGACGGTAGCACGATTATGTCTCATTTCCACATTCCTTGAAGATGGTCTTCGGATGTGGTTCCAATGGTCAGAACAAAGAGATTACATGGATATGTCATGGGGCTGTGGGAAATTTCTCGCAACTATGTTTGTTGTAAGTACAATTTTGTTGTTATTGATTTGGCAAGTAAGATTATAATAGTAGCTGCCTTGTAATTGAATTGTAATGGAATAATTTTTTAAACCATCTCAAATTTTACAATAATTTAAATACAGTTTAAAGTGATTTTCTTTATATCACTAAATATACCATTATAAGTTGATAATAAGGTTATCCCTATTAAAGTATAAATGAGAAATCATATTAGCAAATATGATCAGGAAAGTGTAATTTATATTTCATTAAATATATTTGTCCACCAATAAAATGTCATTAGATACAGCTAGAGTATCTATTTTGCATGTGTATAATTAGTGCCTGTTAAAAAAAAGAATGGAATAACGCAACTGAATAACATTTAAAACATGCATTTTAGGTTTTGTTAAATTTAGCCTTAAGTTAAATATAGAATCAAAAATTCTGTTGATTTATATAATTGTATTATTTAAAATCTCATTTACATTTCAGGGTCAGTGAGTTTGTAATGTTTTGCCTAATTATTGCACAGTTTTGTGAAATACACTAATATATTATTTGAGTGCTTTGTTATACCTTTGTAATTCTTATTCAAGACAAATATAAACTAAATAATATTAGTAGTGTAAGGTATCTTAGATAAATATTTTAACAAATATTCTTAATAAACCTAATAATTCAGGCAAATTTAAGCTTTTTTAGGAATATACTATGTTCCTTGCTAACATTATATTAACTATCTTTGTTATCTATCTATACTATATTTTTATCCCTTGTTGTTAATAATAAAAAACGGATTTAATTTCTGATAATAATTATGCGCCATTTGACGAGGTAAAATTCGTATAATTTTCTATTTATCACTTATACGCAGTATTCAGAACGAATTGATGAATATCCGTGAAGACGTCCATTGAAACGAAGTGGTCAGCCTTGACCGTTTAACCGATTTAAGTTGATAGAACGCCACGCAAAAAAGCCGGCGCGTCAACCACTTTCACTTGCCCAAATCGAAGTCACGTAGAATGGAAGTTGAAAGTGGCACCTAATCGTTTTTATACACCACACGTAATAGGTTACTGATTACTACGGTAGTGGTGTTTATAGTAAAGTACAAATTTCACACTATATGGCCTATTTCCTTTATCTGCTTCATAGCTCTGTACAATCTTACTAAAGCGTGGAGATTGTTTTAAATAGTACAGTTACATTCGGTACCGTAAAAAATTATGTATTCATTTCAATTTTAAAAGAGATTTATATTAGTAATACTGCAGAAGTATTTTAAACCTAAATATCAAAGTCCATTGTTGTTTACCTACTTAAATAGGTACGACTTTAAAAAAACAAATTTATATATATTTTATTATGATTTGACAGGTATAGAGACCTTGAAAGTTCTGTTTTATAAAAACGATAACACAGCTACTTTTAAACAATTTAAATCTTTGCCTTAAAGGTTTATTAAACACATTCTAGTTTGTTTTTTAAAGCATGCTTTAGTCAAATGTATAAAACCGCTTTTTAGATCGCACTACAATGCATTATTTTCTAGTATATATTGCTGTTGCACACATTGTTTAATGGTTTATATTTTGTGTTATCTACGCAACAATATTTTTATGTATAACTGTTTTTATTGTACCAATATGTTTTAAAGCTACTGGATGAACAAAGAAACATAATTTTTTAGTTTAATAATGATTTTGACGTCGTATTGCTAAAAATTTTATGTGATATTTTAATTTTCACAGATAATAAATCTATTCGGTCAGCTGGGCGGATGTGTCATGGTATTGGGAAGATGGAAGGTTGACATAGCATGTGGAGTACTTTTCTTTATTGTAGTGTTACAGGTAACCAAATGTTTTTAATTCCTATTATTTTAACCTTAAAAATCAGTTTTTAGCAATTATATTGGTTTATTTATTCGCCTGTAAAGTAACATATAACTTATTATATTTGCGGAAGAAAAACTGACCATAACAGTCTGCACCTATAATGATACAATCACAACAAATTAATAGTAACCAGGAAACCTCTCCATAGTATGCATATAGAATTTTCGTCATTCAGGGTATTAGTTCAATCAAATTTGAATTATTACAATGTAAATGATTTTGTCGAGCACCAGTAATAATATAATACTATTAATATTGAATGATCCATAATATTTGCATGCCTTTAATAGTAGTAAATTGCTTTTCAGACATTCGCATACAGCATATTATGGGATATGCAATTTCTACTACGAAACTTAGCCCTCATTGGAGCTCTGTTACTAGTCGTGGCAGAGGCCCGTGCTGAGGGACGAAGTCTCTTCGCAGGCGTACCTTCCCTTGGTGAAAACAAGCCGAAGTCGTACCTGCAATTAGCTGGAAGGATCCTGTTAGCCTTCATGTTTATCACCTTGTTAAGATTCGAAATCTCATTCTTACAGGTAAGATTTAAATGGTTGAAATTATTACAAAATAAAGTTGCCCTCTTTTGGACTCCAAATTTAGTATTACGCTAAAAATAACTTTACCTAGTGACCCGTTAAATTATGAGAACAGCGTGCTCAATCGACTTGGCTATAAATAGAATGATTGAGGATAATTTACCTATTTTAATATTCCTACAATTTATTATGTCTTAGTAAATAAAAATTATATTTTATGCTATTTTAGCTATATTTAGAAGCTAAAATAACCATTACCCATACAAAAACTTACCTCTCGAAAACAAAATATGTCTTGTTTACATATACATTTCACTTCTTGTGAATTGTGAAATACAATCAATAATCGTCTGAATACATTAAAGTTAAGGTGTATTTTACAATGCACAAATACATATAACGTAAGTCAGGTTTTATCTTCACTGGTTCTTGAGAGGTGAGAATGTTTATAACCACAATTTTTTAAACCTAGCATTGCCTCAAATTCAGAGGAAGGGCGAGGCCCCATTACTGCGTTGCGTCGTCGCGCGCGACGTTTAAACGGATCGACGGAAAAGAGACGAAGCAGGGGGGTGGGTGATCACTATTTCTAAATGCTATAAGAGGAGATATCCAGAATCTTCTAAGTTTAATTCGGCGGTGGCGTAATAAAAGCAACAAAAGAACACGTTTGTGTATGTCCATTGCAAAGGCTGAGACGCAAATGCGACGGCGTGTATACCACCTTGCGTCGCGACGTCGTGCGTCGACGCCACGCAGATGTGGCATACCTACAATGCTTCGATCCGATGCGCAGACGCGAAGCGAAGCAGTAGTGGGGCCTCGCCCTTACTCAGAGAAGATTCTAACACATTATTACAGTGGATACAAATACATTAACGTTTAACTAAATCATAAAAATTTGTCCATTTTATAAATTATACACAACATGATTTATATTATTTCTTGACTTAAATAAACGATCGATATTTTCAGATCGTACAAGACTTGCTGGGAAGTATTCTCATGATTCTCGTGACGGTCGGATACCGCACTAAACTGTCTGCTCTAATGTTGGTACTGGTACTCTCAGTACTTAATCTGTACCACAACGCGTGGTGGGCTGTACCCAGTTATAAACCACTCAGGGACTTCCTTAAATATGACTTTTTCCAGGTGAGTTCTTCATTTAAATTCCTTACTCAAATATTATATTCAACCATTTTCAATAGTAAAATGAATAGCTAATTAGTTATTACTATTATGTATTGCAATATAGAAACTAGCACCAAACCTACTAGCAAGACTACACAGCGTCAAACAGAAAGTGTATTTATTTTTAAAAATATATTTATAAAATATATTTGTTTTGCGTTATTATAACATGATAAAATCATTAAAAATATCACCTGAAGCAATTGTAAATAAAATGTACAATTTACATGTGTCTTAATTTGTTATTATTTCCAGACACTGTCAGTGATTGGGGGTCTTCTAATGATTGTGTACCTCGGGCCGGGTGGAGTGAGTATGGATGAACACAAGAAAAAGTGGTAGTGCGAACTTTGTGAAGGGACTTTGTTGTTAACTAGGCTGTTGTGAATGAGGTTATCGTGTTATGTAAATATACGCCATACTGTTTAGTTTGCACGTTTTTGATGGTTGTGGTATTTTAATTTCAAAAGTGACAATTGACGACCAGGCTATGACTGCTGACAATTAACCTGTCAAAGATCTAAATAATACCATTTATTGGCTAGGAATAGAATTAAAACAGTCTTTAACATTAGATCCATAGACTGTCAGATTAGTAAAACTTATTTGGATTTCCTTTACTGTTTTAGTGGCCCAATTAGTTTTAGGTAAATTAAGCTGATTGATTTTAGTTGTTTGGTGTTTTTTATTATTCTATATTGCGGATTTTTAAGTTTATATGAATCCTCCTCTAATGGTCGATTTGAAAGAAATTATTGGGTTATAAAGCGCGCAAACTAAGCAATAAGTTTTTACATCTATAATACATTTAAACTATCGGCGTCAAGTGTGAATTTATGAAACGCATCGAGTGTTGGTGACAATTATTGTATTTTAGTATAGCAATCCAATTTTTATATACAACTTATTTTTTAAAGTGTTATTACTTCTCTGTGACTTTCTCGCTTTTATAATTCTAAATTGTTGTTTGTGTCTTGTAGTTTTTAAAATTGATTCCGAATTTACTTGGGAGAGTATAAATACTGTTCTTAAATTCATTTATCTACTATTTACCATGTATTTAACTGTACATATTTAAAAGATATATTTTTATAGTATTTTTATTTCATTCCGTTTGTCTTATCCCTGAATACAAAGAAGCCAAGTTTGCCATAGTGTTTATTGTATAAGAAAGACAACATCATTTTATATAACAGATTTATTTGTAAAAAATTTAATAAACAAAATTCCAACAACTAGATTTGCTATTTTTAATTAAAATGTGAGATTTTAAATAAAATTTCGAATTAAACTATAAAATAAAATTTTCGCATATTTACATTTCAACGACAAGTGTATTAATCTGATTAGAATGTAGTTTTGATATCCGATACTAAGGTTAATACAATAAAAATTGATCTGTAGGGATTTTGTTTGTAAATATGTATACTAAAACCTTATTCTTCCCCTTATTTATGGCATGATACAAACTTAGCCATGTTTGTGGCATTATATCAGGGTTTAATTATTAGGTTCAATTTATCTGTTAATTAATCAAATACCAGCAAACCTGATGGACAGAAAATATTTCTATTGGATTATACTTGGTGAAAATTGAATTCTTAAAATTTTTGTACTTTTGAAAATCATTGTATAACTGCATGCCAAATTAAGGATTCCAATTGTTTGGACATTAATATATTGATGATTTTACTTCTACTATTGTGTGTCCATATAATTTAAGATATTGGATCACTACCACACTTACAATGGACCTTGTGAGTAAAGGTTGCAATAAAATTTAAGAGCTGCATACTTAGAGACCTAGTCCTTCCAACACAAGGTAACCATAACAAACTCAATTTAGGATTCAGTACATACATTTTCCTATGCATATTCCAAAGTGTAGTTTGTTCTACTTTATGCCATAGTAATGCTTAACTTTACTTGGCAATAGCTTCTTTTTGATCCTTACTTGATAGATACTTAAACACCTTATTTGCTAAATGACGATATTTTTCTGCATGTATACTATCTGGTAGGGCATAAATAGCTGGTTTGCCACTGTTTATACATTCTGACATATCAGGGTCAACCTCAAAGCTTTCTATAATTTCTAAACCCATTTGTTCAGCCATCTGTTTAGTCTCATTTCCAAAAATGAAATTCCTTGTGCCACAATTCTTGCAAATAGCATGAGACATGTTTTCTACAAGGCCAATGATCGGAACATTGAGTTTTTCAAACATGTTGAGACCTCGCTTAGTAACTTGTAGTGCTGCTGATTGGGGAGTCGTTACCACAATAGCCCCTGTAAGAATAATAATAAAATAATAGTTGCTTTGTTGAATTTTATATATAATCTTCCAGTTAAACGACACTTAGCATTGTGGATCCCAATTTTTCATAATCTCATTACTCATTACATTTGCTTTACTTTAAATTGGTAATTTACCATCAATAGGCAAGTTCTGTGCAAGTGATAAGTGTGTGTCTCCAGTGCCAGGAGGAGTATCCACAACCAGACAATCAAGTGGCCCCCAAGCAACATGCCTGGTCAGTCTTTCCAAAGCCTGCATCACCATTAGACCACGCCATACTACTGCATTTTCGCCAGCTACTAGCAATCCCATTGACATGCTGAAAAAAGTGAAATATAAATAAATTATAGTATTATTTAAATAATTAAAAGGAGAGTCATACAGATAATATACTATTAAATGTTTTTATACTCACCAGATTTTGTGAGGTGTACAATTAGTAATATTACTTAGGTTTGATTCTGTTATTATGCCCGCCTGGCCTACTTTTTGATACTATCTTGTATGACATGACTAAAAAAGCAGTGAGCGTCAGAATGGCCGGTCACTAGTCGTGTAGAAGGTTAAAATGTCGTTTAAAAATTACTTCCCAATTGCTTCTTTTTAATTCCTACCACAAGACAATTGCTTCCTTAGTATCTTGGGAGAACCACAACAATTTTAGTGACCGTCCATTCTGACGTCAGAATGGCTGGTCACCTATCCTATTGTACTCACTATAATGAATTATCGATTACTTCATAGTTCATGTTTTGCTTCCTATTTGCTTCTTCCTAGGTTTTCCATCCTCGATGCTGTACCTATCATGAAATTAAGATATCGAACAATGTTATTACAATTCCGCCCAGCGCCTGGTAAAAATATACAGGCAAAAATAAAAAGCAGAAACTAAAAAAAAAGTGTTTTTGCCATCGAATTGAGGCAGATTTATTATTGATAAGGAAATTGTAATTACAACAAACACTTGTGGACTGGACTCCGTATGCCAGCATTAGCTTTAGCATACGTCGATGGAAGTAGTAAAAGTCAAATAATACATGAAAGTGATCACATTATGTGCCAGCTCATCCGATCTATGTGTGAAAATAACAATAAGTTTATAAAATCAGATCATCCATTGCCAAAACTTATTTTAAAAAGGTTCAAAACGGAGATATGCTAGAAGTTGATTGTGAATGTTATGTGTTAAATATATTTGATGGAATTCTGCTTGAGTGTTCTCTTTACAGTGCAGATGAAAAAGCGTCGTGCACTAATTCAACCTGCCCTATAAATGAAGTAGTTAGAAAAGTGTCTGTTTTACGTTTACTTGATTCACTTGTAAACGATATTGAAGAAGCAGCGAATAGACAAATGCTCGATACACCCACCATTATACCATGCCGTCAAGCAACTTGCGATGGTATCAAATCATTTGAACTGATCTTACGCAACATAATAAGTTTTGAAATATCGGTTGAAACCGTTTCTGTTTATGAAGCACCAACAAACCTATTTTTACAGGGTAACGAATATGAATTGATTTCAATAATTGAATTTGTTCCGCCTGCTATTGGTACAATGGGCCACTATAAAGCACATTGTAGACGTGAAAATGTATGGCAATGCTACGATGATATTGATATTAGAATACAAGGTTAATAAGAAGTTATAATAAAAAAATAATTCCACACTTTATTGTATATGTTAAAAAAAGGAATAAGATTAAATTAATTAAAAAGACTTAAGAAAAATTAATGAAATTGGTATAATACCTATTTGTATTATACCAATTCATTTTATGTTATTTTCTCTTGTATTCAATATTAAAAAAAAGTTATTCCTTTACTTGGTGAAAGTTTTTACCGTTAAAGTACATATAGTGGGTTCTGTTACTACCTACCTATATTTATATAAATAAACCATAATTAAACTTAGTTTAACCAAATATTCTTTGCCTGTATATTTTTACCAGGCTCTGGGCGGAATTGTAATAACATTGTTTGATATCTTAATTTCATGATAGGTACAGCATCGAGGATGGAAAACCTAGGAAGAAGCAAATAGGAAGCAAAACATGAACTATGAAGTAATCTATAATTCATTATAGTGAGTACAATAGGATAGGTGACCAGCCATTCTGACGTCAGAATGGACGGTCACTAAAATTGTTGTGGTTCTCCCAAGATATTAAGGAAGCAATTGTCTTGTAGTAGGAATTAAATAGAAGCAATTGGGAAGTAATTTTTAAACAACATTTTAACCTTCTACACGACTAAAGACCAGCCATTCTGACGCTCACAAAAAGCAGCTATTTTCCTACTTACCATTTAACACCATAGTTTATAAGAGGTTCTATTAGGTGATTGTCATTAAGCATAGGTTCTCCACTTATATTCATCATAATAGGCACAGATGGACCAAACACATCGGCATCTAGTAATCCTATCTCTTTATTAGGCTCTATAACTTTCATTGCACAGGCAAGGTTAACTGAAATATGTAAATTCAAATCACTCAAACCTGACACAATTGCAAAACATTTATCTAACCCAACAGAGACAAAAACAATTATACAAGCATGTATCTGCCTGATACCTTCCGAGGGAATGTGGAGTTACTTTACAGGTGTAAATTTTAGAGTGCAAAAGTTTTAAAAGTTATTATAGCTTAAAGTAAATTATTAGTTAGACTGCATGCTAAATTTATTTTAACCCAGTTAATGATTAATAATATCTTACCAGCTGTAGTAGTTTTCCCCACTCCACCTTTTCCTGATGCAACAAGAATTATTTTTTTTACACCCGGTAATGGTTTCTTTTCTGGTAAGCCTCGAGCCATAATTTTAGCTCTATGTTCGTTAACATTTATTTTATCATGTTGAAGTCTGGTTGTATAGCATAAAGGTGTGCTCTAAATAGAAATAAAATTATTAAGAACTAAGATATTTAAACATGTGCCTTGTTTGAAGATAAGTTACTTACGGTACTTAAATTAGATAAATAACCATGTATTCGGGGTAGAACTTTTTGCAGCTTCATTTTTCTTGTTGTCTACTAACAACAAATTTCAAAACCAAGTACTGTCTCGTAAAGTCTTTACGATTTCCTTATGTTTGTGGGGAAAACACGACTTCGTTTGTTCTAAATAAAAAAGTCGTCACGCGCTCCTAACTAATAATATATTTTTTTTTAAGCTAATAGTTGTTACACTTATTAGTTATTACTTATTACCCTTTAATATATATACAAATTACAAATCACAATCTTGTAAATACCAATCAAATAAGTGACACTTGACGGTTTACTGTTAACAGCTGTTATAGCACCAATGAGCAAACATGATGGTATGTATATGTATTTTGATGTCTCAATATCTGTCATCAATCATCATTCAATTGCCAATACTCACCTGTGTTACAGACTACAGCCCTTCTCATCTGTCATGTGTAGTGTGTTATGTATATTTTTCTAGAGCGAAATTTATTCGGTTTTTTATCGAAGTTCGTTCGATATTGGATAAACAGACATAAATGTGAGGATGGCGATTTGTTTGCGCACATTTTCACATAAAGTACTGCCAATCAATGGTATTGCTTCGACCAAAAATCATTCCAACCGTTTGTCCCGAAAACTCCCTATTCGGACACAATTTTTGGAAGATGTAAGGCTTTTCATAAATTATTATAATCATATATATATAGATCCTATTGCATAAAATAAATTAAAACCTTTCATCGTTTTAAAATATGTTGTTTGACCTTCCTATTATAAATGTAATTTTCTTCATTACTTTTTCAGTTCCTGAATAAACGACGTATTTCTAGCTACCAGCTTGCACCTAAAAGTACTGTTGACAATAACATAGACGACATTTATGTCCATGAAGATGTTTTATCAAATAAAACGCAACAGAAAATTTACCTAACCTTAAACAGGACAGGTGATGGTATTAGACAAAATTATGACAATTTCAATGCTGTTCAGAATTTTAGTGAACTTGGTGTAAGATCAGTGGAGATTATAAGTGACGATTATGTGGAACCAAGGAGGCTACCTTACGATTTGAATAGTTTGCCATATATTAATATGAATTATATAGATTTTACCAAATATAATGAGGTGAGCCCAAGTTATAATTATGTCAATCAAAGATTTTATTTTGAATTGTTAAATTTATTAATTTATTTTCACTTATTATTGGGTTTCAATAGTCCAGTTTATATTTCAGGAGATAGAACCAACATGTCTATCTGACTTTGAGAGGGATGCCATAGCTTTCTGCAAAGGGCCTGTTACACCATCACTGGCAAACCAGAGCCCTGCTGAAGAAGGCAAGCCCAGTGAAGAGCAATTGATGAAAGTATTTCATGTGCTGTCAAATAATGTATGTCAAAATATGTTTGAATTAATTATTAAGTAGTCTTTACTAAATACATAGAAGCAATTTGGAAGTAAATGAAAAAATATGCCTAGGATGACATTTTAAAAGAAAACATAATTTTCCTTATTTGAAGGGGATTTGTGTTTCTAAATTTAAAAACTACATCAAAGCTAAAGGAAACTGTCCCATTATACAAGAAGCTGTCATTATTAATAAAAACACTAAGATAATTTGTTTTTATTTTCAGATGCCACAATTGTTCTTCAAACCTATTGACTACTCTATTTATCATCCAAACTTAGTGTTTGTAAACAATATTAGGGGTGTCACAACAGTGTAAGTTTTACTTCTTAACTTTGACCACATAATTTAATAAATGAACCAGAAAGATTCTGAGTCTCTTAAAGTATTTAGAACCAGGAGGGGTGGTCTAATCACATCTAAAGTGGGTGATAGACGTACGAACTTAAAGTACGCGGTTTTTAAGATCGTGAACTTACTAGGCTCGACGTCGGTGACACACGTGAAGCTTGCTCATACTATATCGCGATGTCGTCGAGAGAAGAAGCTTTATGTTATTTGGGAATTATATCATACTACATTTTAAAAACTAATAAAAAAGAGACGAAATCGACAAGAGTGGGTAAAGCACTGGATTACGAAAAGAGAGCGTTTATCGCATGTGAATATAGTAAGAGAAAAACATAATAAAACAAAAAAAAAGCCGCTCCCGGCTCGCAGCGCTGCCACACGTACGAGCCGAGACGAGCTACGAGTAAGATTTCAAACAGGTTGGATCGCCGGCGAACTTGCGCGGCAATTTTAACGTACGCGTTTTTAAGGTGACACACAGGCGAAAAAGGTCGAGCCACAAGTCCGCGTACTTACGCGCACGTCTATCACCCACTTAAGGGTTGGTCAATAAAAGGCCTATATTGAACTGTCCTGAAGGAATATAACAAAAAATTATTAAAGACTGGTCACGGAGGCTATTTTCTGGTCAGCAGGACTGACATCATGTTGCATATTAAATCGGACAAGTTTTTACTATAATTTGACTAGCCTGGAACAGGGCGGGTATGGGTATATGGTCTTTAGTAGTTCCTTATATTATAAGCAAATAATGTAATTGTGTATGTCTTTTAAAATATAGTTTTGATATATTTTTCAGAGGATTAATACACTATGTTAAGCAAGTGGCCTTACTGAGAACAATAGGACATATTAAGTTTGCATATGTAAAACTTGATGTTATGAAAATTACAGCACATCCAGAAGATTCTACTATTAAGTATGTATATTTCACTAAATATAAATAACATTACCACATATTTTATAAAAATCTGTTCCAAGATGTAATTTAAGTTACTTAAAAGTATTCATAATAATGACACAGTTAAAAAATGTAACATTTAAAATGATGTTGTTTAAAGATAGTCCTGATATACCAATTATAATGGGATATTTTTTTCAGAATGAGATGGCGTATAAAAGGCATTTCTGGTCTAAAAGTATTTTTTATGTTTTGGAAATACAAACTTTGGAATATGAAAGAAGTTTTCCAGGATCAGGAAATGTGAGACTTAAGTTTATGTATTCTAAAACATACATATTAAAATTGAATCTATTAAAAAAGGAAATGTATTAATGAAAAGTAATTTTTTAGGTGGTATGATGGTTTTTCAACTTTCTATGTTGGCTCAGATGGACTCATTCACAAACATATTGCAGATAAAGTAAGTAGATTAAATTTTATTGGCATCTTAAAAAAATCGGCTCAGCTTCGAAGGCCCACTTTTTTTGGAATGCCAATCATTGAAAAGTGATTTTGTCTCAACGCCCTGGAGTCTAGACTCTAGTTCCAAGAGCTGTCAAAGCATTATTTCTGCATGAAGTTTGTCATGTTTGATAGTAGAGGATAGTGTTGTAATTAAAAATTGTTCTTACAGGTAATGCCTGACCAAGATACAATAATAGATGATGAAGAGAAGGCACCAATTGCTGCCAAACTAGCTCTTCTGGTAGGGCTTATTCCCCGTAATTACCTCTCTGATGTCACACCCTATTTCACTACTTCTGTAGGAACAGCAGACATATCACCATTGCCCTATAAAATTTTAGAATAGACCAAAAATTTATACAATGAATGCCTTTAAAATTTTGGGAATTGATAGCTTATGTCCAAATATAGTAACATATACCAAGTTATATTATTTGCTATTTGCATATTGTGACTTTGAGAAATTAATGAGATGAATTTAATACAAATTTGATTTCAAACCCTTAAACCTTTTTTTTTAACCCCAATCAGTTTCCAGTAAATTAAAAAAATTCAAAGTAAGCAAAGGGTTTAAATTATATAATGTGTAGTTATTGTTTTTATGGATATTGCTGTATCAAATAGTCAAAACTAATTGGATAAAGGCTTTGGAAGTTGGAACAACAACAGGTGAATATTTGCATGGACTTTGCTGCTGATGGTGGCAACATTTGTATTAATTTTATTTCTGTATATAGACATTTGCAGTTTTTGTGGTCTTAAGCTGTGAGAAATGGGTTGTATTATATGTGACAAAACTATTATTCTTAAAGAATTGATTAAGCAGCAGCAAAACAATACCGGTTGGGACTCCCAATGTAGTCATTTGGTGCCTTCTATAGCCCCTTATAATTTTTTTGATCCTGATACTCTATAATGTCTACTAAATGACTTATGTGATAATATTATTTTAATTTAACAGTATTGGCTTGCAATAAATTCAATTTATGGCAGGAATCTAATAATTCTTGCTTCTCTCTTGTTAAGTTGTATATTTATTTAGTTGATTGCTATCAGTATGTAGTTTATATACATGTTAATTAATGGAATAAATAGTTACTATGTATTTAATGTTGTTTTATTAAAAATTACAACATTACAACAGTATTAGTGTTATAACTTTTCTAAATAATCATTGCGAAAGTTAAGTTAGTAAACGGCTTTGCGGACTTCATCCAGTTTGCTCTAGAGACTAAGTAGACACGAGTTTAAATTAATTTCAATTAGAACAGGATTTCGTATTGAGGAAACATGTTCGAACAAAAAAACTTGCAGAAGGGCGTATGTAATTTAGCCGCGACCTTCTTAAAACCACAGCCAGCATCGGAATACTTGGCGTTAACATATCGAACGACGTTCAGTTTCGGGGTCATTTGGAAGGAAAGGCTAAGTTAGCCTCTAAGAAGCTTGGTGTGCTCAGCAAGGCGAGACGGTACTTCACCCCGGGCCACCGCTTGCATCTCTATAAAGCGCAAATTCGGCCCCACATGGAGTACTGTTCTCACCTCTTGGGGCTCCCAGCTCCTTCCAATTGACGTTGCATAGAGATGTGGGGCACTCTGTATCTTCTGCGCATTTGAGGAGTTGTTCGGATTAATACCTGCAGCCGAGTTTCATCATCGGACGTCGAGGCAGAATACGAAATTCTACCCGTGTCATCTCGACGTCCGCCATTCCACAACTGAGGGTTTGTCAAGACAGTTTTTGCCGCGCACCACCGCTATGTGAAACCAGCTGTCCACTGAAGTATTTCCGAACCAATTCGACTTAGGGTCCTTCAAGAAAAGAGCATATCAATTCTTAAAAGGCCGGCAACGCCCTCGCGAGTCCTCTGGGATTGAGTGTCCATGGGCGGCGGTACCACTTAACATCAGGTGAGCCTCCTGCCCGTTTGCCCCCTTTTCTATAAAAAGAAATGTTTGCCTATTGTTTACTGACGAGCCTACGTCATCCGGGGATAGTGTAGCATTCTAAGTGTGAATGAATTTATAATATCAGTCTAGTATTTATTGAGTTTATTCCTTCCAAATATAAATCATTCCTCCCTTAATGTTAGTATAGATTCCAATCACAGATTCTGATAACTCATTTCAGGACAAAGACTTTTTCGTTAAAACTCTGTGGACGTTTGGCATTGTCAACTGATTCTGTCTCTTATTAATTCATTGCACTCTGTGACTTTGAAGTTTGAACAAGTGAACAATTAAAATCGTTTAATCACGCTTGTTAGTTAGTCGTAACTCTTACTTGACTGTAATATTTTTAAATGCATTTAATTCAATACTTGTAAACTTTGAAATTCTAGCGTAATGTAGAATAGTGTATATAAATTATTATACTAGCGAACGAAAGTTTCATCTGTGATATGTTTATTCAAGATTTAGAATTACAGCTGATGTTTTGTTTGTTATTACATTAAATAGTAATCTTTCTATTTAATATAAAGATTTCCTAAATCTGGACGTGTATCAGTTAAAAGTAGGCCCATATTGCCATGACAACGGTAAGTCCAGTTATCTATATCTCCACTCGACCAGTGGTTCGTTGTATTAACTATGAGAGGTCATTGTTCTTGACAAATCACTTATGAACCCTAGAGTTATTGCTTTAATTAAGGTAAAGCTCGCAGTGGGATGCATGCTATGTAATTTTTGACCCATTTCATGGGAGGAGTATGGCATATCGCCAAGACTTTCGTCATAAATACAATTGTTGAATGGACGCGAGTGGCGAGGCCGAATGTAGTTTGTGATTGACGTATACAAAGACATAACGAATCAGTATATTATTTTGATGCGATAAAGGTTGATTGAGCAAGATATAATAACCCATTATTTGAAGTGAGTAGTGTTTTTGTTGTTTATAGGATGTGGGAACTTGATGTTTTTTGATATAATTTTGTACAATTTAACTTATAATAATTATTATAATATATATCTATAAAGTTTGTCATGAATACTTTTAGTTAAAAGTCAACTTTAAATGAAAGTATATTATGATAAATTATTAATGAATGTATGGTGAAAATTGAAATGCTGGTTACAGTTAGGATGAGTAATAGTAAAAGTGGGTTAGTTCACAATTAACATATTGAATCTTACATATAGGGTTTCTTGAACTACATATTTACTGTCTCAACAATAAGCAAAATAATAATTTGATATTTGTAACAATGTTTTAATATTGGATCAAGTTACTTCAATCAATGCCTTTTAAGGTCATTAAAGTATAAATCCTATACAATCATATATTCCATTGTTGATAAAAAAATATTATCAATATTATGATAATCACTTCAAATATAATTTCTAGAACTAATATTATTTATAATAGAATTATAAATATTTCTCTAGAACTAAATTAACTTTATAAAATGATGTGATTATTGGCATTCCATTGTTTTTAGACTAAACAATGAATTATGTTTATAAATTGTTTCATTCTTAGCATACTCAAGAATGACCATCACCTATATTTAAACATACTTTGTTAACAGTATTCTTATTTAGTTTAGTTAGTAGTTAATTTTGGACAGATGTCAGACACAAGTAACATTTTATAAAGTTATTTGTTATAAACTTTCTTATTCATACTTATTTCTTATAAATTAGTTTTTACATTATTTAATTACTTCTTAGTATTGATTAAATATTTAATTTCAGGTGTTCTAACTATGAAGTGATCATGTCAAAGGTCCTGTCTGCATTGGGCGGTGCCCTCCCCGATGAGAGACCTTTACTCTCCCTTCAAATTGTCGAAAGTGTTGCTAAGTGTCCAACAGGGTACTGGCCAGTGAGCCGGACGTATGATGAGGATGCCGACGCTGGCCTTCTGCGTCAGACAGGCTTATTTGGAAAGAAGCCGAGTCATTATATATGCTTATCAAAATCAGAAGGTAATTCATTTAAAATATATCAATACCAAGTCCACTCAGTGGAAATTGTCAATGGTTATTCTAAGTTTACGTAACGACCTTGTGCATATTTTTTTGTATCTAAAATATATATAAGCTCTTGCATCAAGTTCAAGTAATTCTGACGTCATTGTACAATGTTATCAGCATTACGCAATGATATAGAACTAAACTATAACTTCTTTTATTACATTTAAACAGGTTTGCGCAGTAAAATAACTAGTCAAAATAGCTTTCGCAAAGACAAGATAAAAAAAAAAAAATTTTACTTTCGTTACTAAGCCCTTAGGGTAGTGATAGGTATATTTTTACGAAACATTGCAGTCACACTAATTAGTCGACTGATAACTCTTACCTTGAGAGTAGTCGTGCCTGGGCCTAGAACTGTTCTACATTACTAATATGTAGTCATTTTGTCCATTGTTTAGATTACTACAAAACATTGTTACAATTAAAGTAATTTCATAATATCATACTCCCTCCCGTAAACGAAGTATTTATAACTTTATTATAGCAAGGTTATCCAAAACGTTCGACCGATTCTCATGAAATTTTGTGTGCATATTGGGTATGTCTGAGAATCGGACAACATCTATTTTTCATCCCCCTAAATGTTAAGGGTAGTCCACCCCTAAATATTTTTTTTTTATTTTTAGATATTTTTTTCTGTTTTTTTATGATACAGCATTAAAAAATACATACAAACCCCTAACTTTCACCCCTCTACGATCAACCCCTATTTTTTTATTATAAATGATATATATGGCAAAACGACGTTTGCCCGGTCAGCTAGTAAGATACAAAACGCAAATATCTCCGAAAAGTCGCAATAGCGGTAGGATGTTTTGTTTTATATACAGTCGGACCTGGGTAAGTGACAACTGGGTAAGCGAGAAAACTATTAATGAGAGTTTTTACCGGGTCCCGTGATTTTGCCCTCCTAAAACCTCTATAAGTGAGAAACATGTAACTCTATAAGTTACAGTCATTTTTCACGTATGAATTTCTATAAGTGACAGTTAAACGCATTTAACTTTTGCTATTTAGGACTCTCCTTAAATATCCAGGGACTCTTATTTAATTCAAACGGAATGTGCGTCTGTTGTTGTTTTTTATATTTGCCGTATTTTTATAGATGATATGTGAGATGGACCCATTCTGTAACTCTGTATAAATATTTATTTATTAATAATAACTATCTTAACAATTATATTATGAGATTGTGGTGAATCTTGGCAAGTGACTGTTACCTTTAAAAACTTGGTATAATTTGTCAAACTTCAGAAAAATTGTTTGACAGCTCTCGTCCATTACGATTAATTTTTCAGAATACAGACCGGTTTTTTTTAGGTAATTGATAATTATCTCTCTATGGTATCGACAATGTTGCACCTCGAAATAGGGGACCTACGAGATTAGTCTAGACTCTAGTATTATTTTACTCACAACATAATCCCACTTAATGATTATTGTATCAATTTACGTTGTCTTGTAAGAGGATTGGCAGTGAATGAAGTAGCTTTAGAAGCCTTTGAGTTTGGTAATTCTAATTTTATGTAAGCTGATTAGGCACTTTACGAATCACTGGTTGTTACCGTGGGAACATAATGGAGGTTATGAGACTGATGAACGTGGGAATAATTTATCGGTGTTATGTCATGTGCAATGCATCTATTTGTTACGTCATATATATCTTCATAAAACTTTTGCCCATAAATATGCCTCTGACAAGAGCGCAACCAGAGGCAGGTCATGGGGGGTCAAGCCGCTGGGGCCTGGCCATCTTGCTTAATCGCAGATTTTGACGTGTGCTTGCTATATGACAGTGTGAAATTCAAATTCCAAATAATTTTATTAAATTTTCGAATAGCCTCCCTTAACAATCAAATTGCCTGCCCCCTGTGGGGCGTGGGCCCCTCATTAGGAAACACTGCTCTATGGTGTCGTTAACGCACATGTATAAACCAAAAGTCCGGGTTTCAATTCTCGACGAAAAATTACGTCGTGTCCCATAGGGCACTGGGACATATCCCAGGAAGTTAAAAGAATAAGTAACTTCCTGTAAACCAGTATGATACTGAATTCGGAATTTCCTCGTGCCACAACTGAGCGTTATTTAAGGATGTTTTTAGCACCACCACTATGTGGAACCAGCTTCGGATCCTTGAAGAAAAGAGCGGTTCTCAAAAGCGTTTCATTCGCGAGCCTTCTGGCATTTACAGTGTCCATGGGCTGCGGTATCACTTAAGGTGAGCCTCCTGCCCATTTGCCTCGTTATATAAAAATAGACTTAAAGAAAAACGCGTATTGCCAATCTCTATGTCAGTCGGTACTGTCTTTAATATTCTTTATAAAAGTAGTTTAAAACCAAATAAGTTTTGTGATTGTTCAAGTACAAACAAATTAAAAGTAAAGAATTTAAATTATTCTCATCAGACGAGAGCCGAGACGCCATGTAAAGGACGTCATTAATTTACTTATTGATTCGAAATGTTAGAACGTCTAGACTTGAGGCGGGAGATTGTTTCCTTTGTGCTCTAATCGAATAAGACTAGAAAGTCTCTAACGAAAGGGAAAGGATTCCAAAATACGGGTTATTGTAGCAACCATGTCAATATATACGTCACAAAAAATAATTTCTAAATGTTTAATAACACCTATATAATTTAGAATATATTCTTGATCAGGGATTAAAATTACGAAATACTACGAACAACATAAAAGTACGCATTTTCGTCTTTAAATATTGATCCAGTAAACGCGAAAAAATATAATAAATGTGCAAGCATGATGCAATCCATAATGCAAGTTTTAGTAAATAAATAATTTATTTATTTACTCGTGCATTGTGCTAGTAACATTGTCATAAAAATGTTATAAGTTGGTTTATAAAAGTATACAGAAATTGAATAATATTAAACGTAATGTAAAAATTCTTTGAACAACAATTTACGTTTTAAATTTTGCTCTTACATTTCTTCGCTGTGAAATTGCATTATGTAAAAATTATGTTTTAAAAATTTCATTTCTCACCGCTCCAATTGATTTCGTTATCAAGTGAAGTAAATCGTAAAATGGAGCGTTTAATCACTGACCGTGTCGGCCTTACCCTTGGTAATGAAATCAATCAGCACCAGTCGATCATAATTGCTGGCATTCATTGATTTAGTACGCTTTACGTATAATTAGACAGAAATCTTAATATATATAAATTACGTGTCACGTTGTTTGTCCCCTATGGACTCCTAAACTACTGAACCGATTTCAATCAAATTTGCACACCGTGTGCAGTTTGATCTAACTTAAAAGATAGGATAGCTTACATCTCAATTTATACACGCAATATTATTTTATTGCAAAATATTTGTTTATTATTTGATAGTCACACTTGTAACAGATGGCGCTGTGTTGAAAGTACCAACGTTTCACATAAGCTACAATTCAATGGAATAACCATCAAAAAAGCATGGTGGTCCCTATAACTGGTTTTCTCCTGCCGTTTCCCTTGAATAATTTACTACTATGTAATATAACAAAAACCTTAGCCACAGCAACGCTTGGCCGGTCTGCTAGTATTTAAATGAAAACCTTTTTTATCCCCGAGAGGTTGTTAAAAGTGCTCCATTTTGGTTTGCTGGTTTTGAATAATTAATTAGATTGTCTACTGAGGTTTACATTGTGCATACATAACGCATTTGCTATGTATGCACAACAAATATCGGCCTTCGTTTGGCCCAAGAGTCCTCTTGGACTCCGTGCTTTCTGTGAATTATTTTACAATATATTTTAAATGAACTAAGTTCACAACTTAAAAAAGAATGAATGTAAGAGTAAAAATAGCATTGGTCATTTTGTCTAACAAAGTTGAAGTCGCGGGCACAAACTAAATTATTGAAGTTGATCAAATGCTGCATTTTTATCACATGCACAGGCAACAGAATCTGAAGTTCTCTCGGTTTTTACTCAAGACTTTTCATTATCACAGTAACATCTGTTATTCAAATTACGGGTCTACCTGATCTATTTAGCTTGTCCTTGCCTTTTAGCAGTATATTTGAATTTGCAGGTGTACCTGGCTACGTAATGGATGGGGTGGTAATAGTCGGTGAGAGAGAAGCGACTCCAGCAGGGTACAGTGTAGCAGGGCGCGCTGGGAAGCGGCGGCTATGCACCCGAGTGTCAAGAGTGGTCTCTGCGCCGCATCCAGCTCCCACTGTGACTGATGTAATTGTTTGTTCGAGGATGCGGTCGGCACCACAGGGGTTTTTACTCGCCGGGTTAGTACATAAATCAAAGAACTTTTTTTAGCTCACTAAGAATCACAAGAAATATTTATATATACCTAGTTACAATTTACAGTTTTTTACACAAAGAGACACAAAATATTCTTGCTGTTTGTTTTCTATAATGAAGCTATTACGTTAATTCTGTAGGTCGACCTATTTTTTGTGCACCCCCATATTTCAATGACTAATGAGATAGGACAAATGAGGCTTGACTAGTGTATTGAAGATATATGAACGGTTATTTTCTTGATTTGCGCTAAATAACAGCCTGCAACGATGTTGTTCAGTGATGAAATAAATTATTTTACCAGAAATTAATGCCTAAACTAAATAGCCATAGATGTAAATTGCGATTAAAGATTTATAGTATTTAAAAGATATGATTTTGATAACTTACATAACTAAGATTAAAATATTGTACACGAAACATGGCTGACAAAAAAGTAGTAGTTGATTGAAAAAAAAGCATTACTGAAAGTGTGAGGCTATTTGACAAACTTTAAAAAAACCGAGTTATTGTTCAAACTTTAAATAAACGATACCTAACTACTATGAGCTTATAACTAACATAAAATTAAGAGGACGTATTTTACAATTTATTGGCTACAAGTGCAAGTTGATTGCTATAATTTTGTTTGCGCTTCTTATTATCGCTACATCTTATAGCGCTAATGATTAACTAATATATCTACATATATAAAAATGTTATGTTGCTTTGTGTACGCTTCAAAAACTCAAAAAGTTCTGCACCGATCTAGCTGAAATTTTTGCATCAAAGATTGTTTTTTTATTTTTTTCATTTTTATTCCAAAAGTATTGCAAGATTAAACTTATATGAAATGTTTTCTTTGTTTTGTTTCTCATTTCTCAACCATTAAATCACAATGTGCCACAGCGAAGTGTGGTAGGGCACAGCTAGAGCTAGTTACATATATGTAACTTAACTAATGTTAGGTTAGGCGTCGCACCAGTCCTTATGATGTAATATACATACATACACACACAACGTTAACAAATGGTTTTTTTTGTTTTTTTTGTCAATTCACACCAATTGACCTAGTCCCATGCTAAGCTGGTGAAACTTGTGTTATGGGTACTAGGCAACGGATATACATACATATTATAGATAGATAGACATATAAATACATATTTAAACATCCAAGACCTAAGCACAACACCAAATGTTCATCACATCGATGTTCGTCTCAGCCGGGAATCGAACCCGGGACCCATGGATTCGCAGTCAGGGGTACTAACCACTAGACCAATGAGTCGTCAATGTCGCAAATGTCGAGTTAACGTGATAATTATTACACAGATACATATAATTCGAACGAAAACAGCCACAAATTAAACTCTAAAACGGTATTTGAATTAGGCGGAGATATATTATTTACTCGTGATTGACTTTAAATTAATATCAATGTAAATTAATGATTATTTCCCTCAATATCACTATATTTATATTATTATATTGTCATATATCCTATTGAGCTTACATATAAATCAAATTAATATCGATTCGGAAATCCTATCCTAGAACATAACACCTATGTACATCCTCATTTGACCGCAAATGTCCGTATTCCGTTCGAATTAAAATATGTGATATTATTGTTTTCAGCGAAATAAATGGCAAAGTAGTGTGCTATAAGGTTAGCGGAGGGAGCGGCGAGACGTCACCCACGCATCATGCGGAGTATGAAAATGTCATTTCTAATAACACGCCCGAAGCTAATAGGAGGTAAGCCGTAATGTATAATAATAACACTTTTCTAACATCACGAAACAGAAAAAAAGGTTTGAAATTAGGCGGATATATTGCTAAAACCCTTTTCCACCAGATAATAATAGATAACAATATAGGAATAGCAATATTATGTTACTTTAAAATTGAAAATTTGTATAAATTGAATTAGAGATTCTGGAGGCATCGGGGCAATAAAGGAGTGGAGGCCCTAAATTATTTTCCAAATAAAATGGTCAATTTTTTTCAGTAGAGTTTTTCAATCAATTATTTATTTTGAAAGTAGATTCTTTTAGTATTTAACAAACATAAAAATAGTAAAAAAAAGTTCTTTACTAGTGTTTACTCATTGGACTTTAAAATATATTTTCCGTAGTCTCTGTTGTGGGGGGGGGGCTCTTTTGTGGAGGCTCCAAGGCTGTAGCTCCCGTTGTCCTCCCCTAAATCCGGCCAAAACATCCGAAAACAAACATTGTGGCTTAACATCAACAGTCATGAACATCCTACATGTTACCGTTAACTAAAGACATATAAATGTCGCAGCCAACTATCTTAATCAGGCGTTCAATTAACATCCTAGCCATTAACATAATAAGTATCATCAAATTCAGGCGACGTATTTCTAACTCTTTACCCAAATTTACATTATTATTGTCACTACAATCTTCCACTGTAGTTGTTTTTCATGAAAATTTGAAAAACACCATTAAAGTTATCTTTGGACGCCATATTGACAGTTTGAAGAGTTTTGACGCTAGTTGCTAGATGGAAACAAGTGGAACTAAATTTTAATTAACAGGCTAGGCAAGTAATGAAACGTCATCGATCCAAGTCATTTGCGTAACTGTTTGATCAACTGGCTGAACGTCTTTCAGGCCGTTAGTTAAACGGCTAGGCTGTTAATTGAACGGCGAATTAAGCTAGTTGGCTGCCACATAAATATATGTTTCCTTATCATCGGCTGAGTCTCAGACATAGGGTTTATAATTATTGAAAGATTTTACATAGAACTTCTTTTTATATTTTATAAATGTTTATTTTTCCCTCACAAATTTACATAAAACAGGTTTAAACGCGTTTCAGTAAGGCGTGTAATAAAATTAATTTACGTTGAATGGTTAATGAACATTATTGTATCGAATTTTGATTAGTTTTGCGACCGCTTCGATTTTAGTTATTATTTATGAACCTTTAATGAATTTCACATATATTTATTGGGGAAAACTATGCGATTAAAAGTTTTTAATTGTATCGTGTTGATAGAGATACGCAGCCATTTCATAATATAAGGATTCTTTGAGCCGCGGGTAAACATAAAAATACATTCATGAATATTGTATATTTGTTTTGCAGTGTCTCGACTTTTGAACAATTTAAATTGCTGTGGAATGGATGTTCGGGGTACTGATTATTTTCGTGTGAATTCACTAACTTTATGATGCCTAGAGTTTTTAACCGCATTTGTTTTTAGTTAATAACGTATTAAAACTAACATTTTCATCTAAATAGATAGAAATTCTGATTTTTTCGGAGCTTTATGAGTCATTTTCAAGAAAAACAAAAGATCAAGAGTTTTCACAACTCTTTTGTTTTAATAAACTTTAGAGTAGATTCACATTCGTTTGATTTTGGTTTAGTTAAAAATTCGGTTTGATTACTATGATACGTTTTTAATTACTTGATTTTAATAATAAAAATAAAAATATTCTGGAAAAATTGAAAAAGAAATATTTTTGTCTCTTGTATGTAATTTTTCACTATTTGTATATATTTAAAAAAGTTACCGCAAATAAAAACAATTATGGTATAAAAATATGCGCTATAATATGCGACTGTAAATATTTATAGCTACGTTTTCGCGGTGATAGTTTTGAATTACTTGAACGTTTTAAATATTATGCATGTGATTGAGATTATGATTGTGCCGTTTTTTTGTTAATTCGTTTAAATGTTGTTGATTTTAGAACCAAAATACTTGATCTGTAAGTGGACAGTAATTCCTAATAGCGATCTTGACTTTGACTCGAGGTTTTGTACCTTGACAGTAAGGAAGCGTTCAAGTATTACGTCACGCAATTTTTGGAGATTCTTGACCCCATGTAACGCGCTGTAATGTTTTTCTGTTCCCAATAGTAAAACGTTTCGTGACCACTCAGAGACTCTTTATACCTAAAAGTTACCATTATGTTATGTAAAGTACTGGAAAAATCAAAATTAATATTTAAAATAACGCGTAATTGAATCCCCGCCATAATCATAATGTTTTACAAGAGGGAAACCCCCCCCTCCCAAATTCGTTACATACTACTTGAACGCTCCCTAAGGCGCAAACATAAGGCTATGGGGGCTTGAGACAAAATTACTTCGACAGACCCAATAACGCCAAACCAATTTGTGTGAAAACTGTCACGTGACGTCTAACGTCATTCCCGCACAGATTAGCGTTAGTGTGTCAGTGTGTGTGTCAAGCCTGTCGAAAAGTGATTTTGTCCGTATATCGGTATATTAAAAGAACTACATCCACATTGGAACTTAGATTACTGGCGCTGATTTTCCTATATAAATAGATATTATAAATGTTGCCAATATAATCTTCCAGGTTACGACAAGTCCCTGAACGCCCACCAAAGCTATCACCGCTCGTATCAGACCTCAACAATTTGAATATGAAATCTCCTACAACGTACCCAAAAATCGAGGAATTCACAAGCGATCACGATTATGAAGCCCTAAGTCCGTCATATAACATCAAACCAGTGAGACCAGCGCCTCGGCCTCCGAATAAGTCTCCGATCCCCCACGGGAGCCCTGGGCCTTTGTCCCCGGGGCCTCATGGGAGGAAAAAGGGTCCAGCGCCTTTGCCAAAAGCCTCGAACTACCAAACCCTCGGTGGTTATAATGGATTAGAGGGAGTTCCGTTTGTACTGAATTCAAAGCTACGTGGTTTGCCGAGTGATACTTTGGTAAGTGTGTAATGTGTATACAAATACAGTGTAAACTCTTTATAACCTAATTCAGTATACGAATAAATGAGTTAAATTTGTTTAGTTTAATACAAAACCCATACATTAATTCTCTCTTTATAAGGCTAAGCCATTCTCTATTACGAAGACATATTTTCATATTTAGACTTCAACAACATACTTAAGTGTAATTGTTTTTATAATCAGCTTACAAAACTTACCTTTTGAGGTGCTGACATTTCTAAGCCTCAAGAGCCGTCTCGCCTTTGTTATTGTTAATTGCATTAACACGTGTGCCATTATTCTTAGATTACATTGCCTGTCATAACAAAATATGTCATGGCAAAGTTAACAAAATTTACCTATTGATGGTAATAGAATTAGAAATTATTGTAAAGAAAAGAAACTATTCCAAAGGATCCGTAAGTGTCCTCAATATTTTAATACCATTACGGATTCGGTAATGGGGAGATTATATTAGAAAGAAACTAAGTATAATAACATCATCCATCTAAAATAACCAAATAATTATGATTGTTCTATTATAAAGTGTTATAGATATTCTTTTATTCCAGAACCAGTTCCCAGTGATAAAGAAACGAAGTCGTTTTGACTTGGACCGTGATTATTCCTATGCATTCGCCGTGGAGCGACAAACGTGAATAACTATTTTAAATGAAATACTTTTTGGATTACGTGCTAAGGGCCCGCTAAATATATGTTTTACAGACGCCTTGGTTTCCCGAGAAATAATATTAATTACTCTTTTTTTATGTGACTTTTATGAGAGGAAATGTTGCATGATGTAGGCGCGTATCACAATTTGTATATCGTACCTACGTACGACTACAACGTTCGTAGCAAGCATGGTTGTTGGTAAGAACATGTTTTGATTCGGTAAAGCGTATTTTCTTGAAGACTTATTATGCGAAAGTTTTCTATACAGGACTTTTCAACAGATATGATATTTAGTTTAAATACATTTTACTAAAATAATGCTTTACCAGGCTTTTATGTGCGAAATACCAGTTAGTTATTGCTACGGATGGTATATTTATATAGAGACTGCGTAAGTGTGGTGAATCTACGCATTATGAAAATAATTGTAATCTCAAAACCTTTAATTATGGTATAGCTATTTTTTAAATGCAATACTCAATCTTTTCTGTATATATTTCTTCCCTTTTGGGATAGCAAGTTTGCTATATTATTAAAATTTTTTGTGGTTTATTAAAGAATAGTATAGAATTGGTAAACGATTGTCTTGCACTTCCTGTTTTAAATATTGACGTATGATATTTTTGAATGTTATTATTTATTTTTTTCTTATGAATTGTTGTATCGTCGAGCTATACGTTTATGAGGGAGTGGGAGCATGAATGGTACTTTAAACTTATCGAAGAATTGAAGACTTGTTTTAACACTCATGAAATAGCCATATCATTGAATCGTTGTGATATTTTGAATGTTTGTCTTAAATTTGAGATCCAAGTTTAAGGTTACATTTTGTTCTATCTTCAATTATTAGAAAACCACAAAGTTTTGTCGAAAGCTTCACTTTCCGGCTTGGACGGGAACAGACGGTGAAGACCTGTCATTATGTGCTGGCCTGTATCTAATCTGTGGCGTCTGTTTTTGTGTTTTTTCCCTCAAAGGCCGGCCAGCCTCCCCTGTTTTGGGCGTCTCTCTGTCCTATTAAAAAAACAAAGTATAAAAGCGCTTCTACCAATTATGTACCTAACAAGTTTATAATTTTATTTGATATATACTTAGACTTAATGAATGGAAAAATTGCAATTTTATGTAGGACTACTCGTAAACAATTTTACGATCCGGCCATAAATACAAAACTGCATAATTTGGTTTCAGTCAATTTGTAATTGCGGGGTCCATGTATTGTGATGTGAGGCTAAGACTGAAACATGTATGATTGTATGCGAAAAATGAATTTGAATCATAAACAATTTCAAAGCAAAATATATGAATAAATTATGTATATAATGAATACTTTTACAGTATCTTATCAATTGCAGTTTTAACTAAAGTAATTTTTTTAAGTTTCTCTTTTTATCACATTGTTAACACAATTCGACATAATAAATATTATATATAAATATAATATAAACAAATATTCGACGAAAGAGTACTTTAATTTGAGGTGTGCAGTGAGACTGATTTCGTTTTTATGAATAAGGGGTTTGAGTTTTGATATTATTATATATATATTTTTTTTATAGAACGGGGGGCAAACGGTCAGGAGGCTCACCTGATGTTAAGTGATACCGCCGCCCATGGACACTCTCAATGCCAGAGGGCTCGCGAGTGCGTTGCCGGCCTTTTAAGAATTGAAATGATTATATGATATGATTATTTTCCCTAGAGCATCCCCATTTTTTTAAAAGTATGTATTTTATTTCATTATGTCTCCATGCCTCCGTTGGTTATATTAAAAGTATTCAATTGTGCCAATAATTCTGATAATTAAAGTTCAATTTTACGTATAATTTATAAGTAATACGACGCAAATTACCAGGCACAGAGCCAGCCAATTTTTACCTAGTCAAATAAGTACTAAGTCATAGAGAATGGAGATAGCCTATGGTATATATAGACAAAACATCTGTGCTTCTATGTTAGAAGGTCATAACATTAAAAAAAACTTCATTTACAAAAATATTTTTTTTAAACTCCTTTGGTTTGTCAAGAATTTAGGCAAGATGTTGCTGCGCGTCCTTTTAAAGATATGTGCCTTAATTTAAATTCGATTGAATTAATAGTAATGGTTGACAAAATGGCGCCGGTGTTACATTAGCAATTAGAAACATATTTACGTCCGATGACGACTTGAAATTGGCACTTACTAGTGATAGCTATAGTCTAATTACCGGTATTATTCAAATCAATCGTATATCCTATTCCATCAAGGCGTCTATATTTTTTAGTTTATAAAAGGGTTCTATTCTCTATGTCTATGCAATCAGAATGCTATTAGTGACAAATTATGTTAGTAAATATACAAATTAAATCATGTTAACCTCTAGTTTGATAGATTATTAGGTGGATAACAATGTATATATATTTAGAATATAGTAAGTATGACTACGGTACTATATATTTAAGATCTGGTCCCTCTTATGTCGCTCAATCAATTGCATGTACTAAAACGATGAATTTATTTTTCGTACATATATTTGGCTAATATGCTTTTATATAGCAGTAGTATTTGACATATCTATTATAATTATAGCATTGCCGTGTTGTGGTGCACATTATATAAGAGATAATATACAAAATAGCTGAATTATCCAATGACGGGTTGTGAATACATTGCCCAAAATATTCATTTTTATCTGTGCTATGTAAATTTGTCAATTTTTGTACATATCGTATAGAATAATTTGCACGTAAATTTCTTTTTATATGACGTAAGGTTATTATAATATTTTTTTAAATTTCAGTGATAAAATTGGCGTATTAACCTCAATTACAAGTAATTTGTATTCTGTTAATAGCAATACTTTAAATCCATCGATCCATAGATATTCCAACAACAGGAATAGCCAACAGTATTGCCAGCCTTGCCGATTAGAATAGAATACTTAATCTATAGTTTGTATAGAGATACTCAAAGTTATTGTTATGTACCCTTATCCTTGCAGTCGTTTCAAGAGTGATGTTCACATTTAATAAAACAATTATTATATTTTTTGTTTAATCTAGCAACGTCTTATTGTTACACAAATATAACAAGAATATCTTAAATTGTAAATAATTTCCTTAAAGTAATATGGTAATTAGAAAATACGCTTCTATACAATTGTATCTCATTTGTTTAATAATACCGAAATATAAATTATTGAATTTGTGTTGAGTGTTTGATGTTTTTCCTGTGCTTTAAACATATTAAACGCTTTTGGGGTTATTGGGGACTTTTTAAGTGACTTATGGCGCTTCTAAACGAGCCATGTTTTGCTGCAATTGATGGCTGCAACACTGTGGCCGGCAACATTGCAAACAATAGCAGCCACACTATGCAATATTGCAGTAATGTCCCGGCCATATAGCCAAACATGTTTTGTATAGCCACATATGGCCGATGTTGCCCCGATGCGTGGCCGGACGATCGCTAGGCTATCGAATTCAACTGCAATATTGCACAGCCAGTTCTATTGTTGTTTCAGTCACTCTCTTTGTTATGGCACAGTGTATCCTTTTCTACGCGATATGAAGTTTGCTATGAGGGAAGTGTGCCTGTTGCTATATTCTGTGTTTTGCGATCAGCTGCATTTTGACGTTAGGTTACTACTTAAAAATGACTGCTTTTGACATTTTAGTAAAGTTCTTGAATAATTTATTGTCAAGGCATATTTCTAGACTCAAATTGTCTACAGTTCCACGCCTATTTAAGTAAGGTCAAATCCACAATCTCTTCTTTTCTGTTTCTTTTTTAAAACAATATAAGCTGCTGCGACAAGTGTGATTTCGTCAGCCATTGTTGCCGGTTTGTGTAGCCCGTTTAGGAGTCTGCATCATGGGCCATACTATTGCAGACATATTGCAACACATTGCCCAGCCATAGATTGTTCGGCCATCAGCTGCATTAAAATATTTTTGTAATGGCCGGGCAATTAGTGGCCAACAGTGCAGCCATCAATTGCAGCAAAACATGGCCCGTTTAGACGCGCCATTATACAATTATTCATGTATTTTTTTTTAATACTAGGCAAACGGGCAGGAGGTTCACCTGATATTAAGTAATACCGCCGCACATTGCCCGAAGGCCCGCAAGTGCGTTGTCGGCCTTTTCCGACTTGGTACGCTCGTTTCTTAAAGGATCTGACGGACGGATGAATTTTCCCATACAAACAAATTGAGATAAAATTAGTCGATAACCATTGCAAATTCATTCGTACTAGACGATGATCAAAACGGCAACGCCGCCGCGCATAAGTTGCGGTAGTTCGGTAAAATTTAAAGAATACCAACAACCGAGACGTAAATAAAATTGCTCAGATCACTCAAGAAAATCAGATAAATATTACGATTACAATTGTTTATTTTTTATATGTTTAGACGCTTTGTATTTAAATCAATCTCAACTATACACAATATTTGCCTTGTCGTAAATAATAATATAAATGTCCATCAATAGTATCCATCCTTTTATAAATTGATATATAAAAAAAATATTACAGACATCATAGCAGCCCATATTTCATCGTAAAGTTACTTTAGGTAAATAATATTCATCATGGCTATTTATGAATAGCAACATTAAATGTCATGACATTTAAAGGAAAATAAAACAAAACGATAAAACGGATATTTTATATTAGAAAATATGGGTTTTACACTTGCATTTTTCTTAAAACGAAGTTAACAATTGCAGGAGAAATATCGGAACATGGTAACTTGTACAAAATCTAAAATACTCATTACACCAATAATTCACTCGACATTTTGCCAGTTAAATCACATTTGTACAACTAATTTACACATAAAGAAATCTAGTTTCACAAAATATTATATCAATGTTAAAATGTCTCAAACGCTTAACAATCGATACGACATAATCTGTCTCGAAATATTTAGAGTGGTTTTACAGTGACGCTTTCGCCAGCGCAGTTGGTAAGCGTCGCGGGCCACGAGCTTTGCGTCTCATGGATCATTACATAGTCACGCGGATGGCCCGCGTTGACGGCAATTCAGCCGCGCTTTTCAACCGCGTGCGGGCGAGGAGTCATTGTGTTCAGTGTGCGTTGCACAGTCTCGCCGGTCGGACGCGCGCATGCGTACCGTCGTCGCCAAAATGAATGCGAATTATATCGATACGGGTCGATTGATTGAAGAAGTTCGCTTTCGACCGTTGCTGTGGGATCCATCGAACGAATTATACAAAAACAAAGACGCAAAAAATAAGGCTTGGGAAGAAGTTGGAGAAGCAATCTTTGGAGAAAATTACATAAAGAAAGACAAAGGTATGTTTATAAAATTTGTATTTTTATCAATTACATTTATAATATAAAATTTATATTATGTTGGTATAAAAGTCGTCGTTAAACATATGTAGGGTAAGATTTCAATCGATATGTAGGGTAAGATAAGGTAAATTGATCAATTTTACTTGTTGGAGCACTATCTTTATGGATTTAAAAATAAGATTGTGGATTTTTGATGATTTGAACACTCTTCAACGGTTTACTTGCAGAAAAAACACATTAGATTAGTCATAAATGACTATGAATCATCACTATAGTCTATACTTGAAAGGACGACAATGAATTCAATTCCACTAATAAGTTCTTTCAAATAGGTACTAGGTAGGTACCTCTAGAATATTTGTCTGTCTTGCCACGAAACACTGCCAGCAGGCGATATAAAGTAATCGGCAAACACTTCGCGTAGTGTGTTTCCTGTTCTAGAAACTGGCTGAAGATTCATGTCAATCAAACCACTAATGCTTAATAAGTCATTTCCATTGTAGCCGTCTCGCACTCTGATAAAATTGTGTAATACGCAACAAGCTTTAACTATAGTTTTTGCGTTGGAGAAGCTCACGTTCATTGGAGTGTGAAACACTCTAAACTTGTTTGATAATATTCCAAATGTACATTCTATGTACCTTCTGGCACGACTTAGACGGTAATTGAATATCTTCTGTTTGTGGCTCATATCATTTCGAAGATAAGGTTTCATCACATAGTTCGATATGCCAAATGCACCATCACCAATTATTATATGAGGTGCCACAATATTAGATCCTTGCAGGTACTTTGGAGCCGGTAACCTTAAATTATTTCTTTCTAACTGTTGAAATAGTACACTGTTTTGGAATATGGTGGAATCAGAGTTTTTCCCACAAGAACCAATGTTGACATAAGTAAAGCAATAGTTGGCATCGCACATTGCCAGAAGGACAATAGAATAAAAATGTTTGTAATTGTAAAACATTGACCCTCCACCTGCGGGATTAACTATGCGTATATGTTTACCATCTATTGCCCCACAACAGTTAGGAAAGTTTGCATACATCTCAAACTCTGCACTAATACGTTGCCACATTTGCGTTGTCGGTTGAGGAATGCATTCTTCGCGTAGTTTTTCCCATATCTCACAGCAAACTTCCTTGACGATTTTGCTTATAGTAGTAACGCCCATTCTGTATGTGACATGTAGATCGGAGTAAGTGTTCCCAGTAGCTAAGAATCTGAAAAAAATATATATAATTATTAGAACTAGTAGAAAGTTCCAAGTAGGAAAGGATTCATAAAAAGTACAAGTGAGAAGGCGTGATACACAAAATATTATTTTTGCCAATTTTTTTTTGTTTCAGATAAGCTTTTACGTCAAAGATGGAAATCTGCAAGAGATGGATATTTCAAAACCAAAGCTAATATGAAAAAGCACCATCTGGTAGCGGGGCAAAAACCGTTACAAAATACATTTATTTCAAAGAATTAAACTTTCTTGATCGTATCACTGAAAACGAAGTTTCAGAATCTATGTACAACATTAATGAACAATCAAGTTCATCTGAAACAATAGCTCACGTAGTAAATAACGACGAAATTTCTGGCTCTTCTCAAAACAGTTCTACTCCGGTGGCTGACCAAGATAAACCAACATGGACTCGGAAGAGGAAACATGAACGGGTACAAGAGAACTCCGCGTTTGAGAAAAAGTTGGTAGATTTGTTAGACAAAAATATGCCAGACATAAGCTCTGACGATTTGTCATTTTTTAATTCTCTAGGTCCAATACTAAAATCTTTTAACAGTTATAAAAAACTATTATTTCGTGCCAAAGTATTGCAAATCGCCATGGATCTCTCCGCGCCAACTTCAAGTGGCACTACGTCGACGTCCAACATCTTGTCACCAGAACATAACTCAAATTCTACTACAACATCAACAACCAATCATTCTAATGATACTACTACGCAACGAGGTTATCAATCAGCAAGTCAATATTACACCGTCATGTCACCAGAAAATGATTCTAATTCTTCTGTAATGTGTGCAACCAATTCATCATATTTTTCAAACCAAACGCTACCAGTCAACGAATCAATGTCTAGTACCACCACTCAGCAAGGCTATCAAACAGCAAATCAATATGATCCTCATTCAACAGTCAATAATTCTGTTCAGCAAAGCTGTGAAGAAATACAGCACTTTCCAAATATTGCATCAGAAAACGACAATTTCTATTAATTACATTTCAACGAGTTTTGTTTTTTTGATTGTTTAAATTTGTAAATAAAGTAATTACTAAAAATTAAATAGTATTTTTCATGCCACTTACCTTAAGGTAATCGCCAACTTTTCAACTGGTTCTATAGGTGCTCGACGTAAACTTGATCTTTTTAAATTATGTTCTATCTTGCAGAGTAATTCATCAAATGTTGTTATAGACAGACGAAAATGTTTAAAGAACTTGTCACTATGTTCTCTTAAATCCGCAAACGATGTAGAGAACGCGCCTCTCAGCAATCTAGTGGCATTGTAAGGATGTACTTGTATACGTCGTCGTCGTTGCCTTTTTTCCATAAGTAATATAGTATAATAAATACGAGAAGTCTCATCACGACTGTATGAGCCGGCAAACCGATCACGACTGTACGAGGCGGCTAACCGCGCGACTAGCTTTAAAACTAGTTTTAAGTTTCGAGCGGGTCATCCGCGCGCTTACCACCCGCGCGGACAGAAGCGTCACTGTAAAACCACACTTAGAGTATAACAAAAAACTAAAAACGTTCAAAATTGAGCAAACTCAAACCACAGACAGTAGACTGAGCATGAAATTATGTTATCCTTTTCTTTCAGGTTTTGTTAGAAAAAGAAAGCACGTTCGAATTAGATTCATATTTTAAAATATTAGGTGAACGCTCAGTCGCTTGTTAATGCGTATTTTTAGCTTTTTTAAATTTCGAATCATCGCGGTGCTGGCGGATGTTTGTTCTGCTTTTGCTGCTCAAGTAAACGTTCGAGGGGTGATCCGGGGCCAGACCACAGCGACTGAAAAAAAAGTCAATCAATATTAGTAGGGTAGGTTATTGGGTAATTTTGTATGTCCTTTGCGTTTTTATCCTTAGAAGTAGTTGCACTGTTTGTTTAACTACTATCCATTCAATTGTACCACTATTATACCACTCCTCTTTTCCACTGCGTCGATTATTTTACCGCTGTGTGACACGGGCGCGGTGGGTGGAGGAAATTAACTATCAAAGTGGAAGCTGTGCGCGCGAATACGATTTACCCCTTGTATCTTGTAATTCATTAATTGTTTTCTTTACGCTTTCTCTAGGAATAGAATAGAAATGATATTGATTCTAAGAGCATAGATTTGACAATAGAATAGATTTGACTGAGGAAAATTGGTCTCAATTCAACCATCTTATAATCTTCCAAAAGATTTGATTAGGTTGTTCATAGAAATATGTTAACTGAATTCTATCACTCCTCCTTTACTGTGCAAAGTATCCTTTTATGGAATTCCGTACCACTTTATATCAGACTAACTCAGTCTTTAAATTTATTTAAAAATCTTTTTGATCATTTTTCTTCTGCTTCGTAATTATCTACTTATATATTAATTGTAACTCAGTTAACTCTAGGGTTAGCTTTTAAATTTTTGTTTATACATTATATGTTCTCTTTAGATTTTACTTTATTTTAGTTGTAATTAGTGTTACATGTTATTTTGTGTTCTTTTTTTGTTAATTATTTATGCAGTTCTTGTACTTTACCCTCTGTAGGTGTTTCTTTTTTTTATTGTTCAAAGTGTTAATAAATATGTTCTGGGATTTCATACCTGTTGAGGTAAGGCGTGTCTAGGTGCTTCAGAGCCACTGAACAGGGAGTAGGTATTTGTATCGCTTGGCTCACCAACACTACTCGTAGACTGACCCTGAAAATTTAATAAATATTTGATCCCTGATAAATTTCAAGTCGGGGTTTTAACAAGAAAAATGTAGTTCATATTAAGTTAGTTGAATATGCCGGCGCTACGCCACAATTATCGTGTCCAGACTCCATTATAATAAAAACACACACGCAATATCACTTTGTTTATTTATGACGGAGAGATTAGAGGATTAGAGGATAGAGACAGGGACAAATTGTTGACAGAGCAACTAACAACCTGAAGAATGTCTGCAAAGCACGATCAAAAATTTAACAAAAACAGGACCTGCTGATAAATTTTTGAAGATAATGACGTCACCAATATTGACGTCATAAACTAGTTTATTGGCATCAGCCATTTATCTACTTTTTAAAGGCTAATGCTTGGTTCGACTGCTCAATCGAACTGAGCGCCAAAGAATATTTTAATATTTATTGTTATTAAGTTTCTAATATTTAAGCTTACTACATATTAGATAAATTACTTTTATTATTATTAATAATAATAATAATGACTACGGAGTCATTATAATTATCGACCATTGAATAGTCGTTAATTTATAGATCTAGCAACATTGACAATTTAAATAAACCATTCGTATAAACGGTTTTGAGGGGGGCCTCATAGCCTAGCGGTCTTATTACGGGGCAGCTAGGTGAGGGGTACCGGGTTCGATTCCCGGTTCGAGGGCAAGTTTTAATTTAATTTAAATTTGTTCTCGGCCTTTGGGAGGGTTGTGCGGTAGCGGGCGAGTGCTTAAACCGTAAATGAAGGATACAGTCGAATTTCTAAAGACAAGCATGAATTATATAAAAAAAAATCCTATACTAGACGCTGGCTAATGCACAAATCGTGCCAGAGCCATTAAAAAAAAAACGGTTTTGAACTAATTTGACTTTGATGTTATTCAATGATAATGACAATGGCAGCTGACACTAACACCATTGCTTCAACATAAATAATAAAGACTATGAAATTACTACAGACTATCATATAAAATATCAATCTTAAACATTATTAAAATGTTTGTAACGATATAATGATTATATATTAAATAAATACGTACCCCGATAGAATCCAAAGGTTTCATATTCCCTTCCTTAAACGTCTCGTGAAAGTTTAACCTCTGTTGCATTTCCAGGTTTGAGCCGAAGTTGAGAACTTCTTTGTTTGGGAAATTGGGCGTGTCCAACATTTGTAAAGGTTGGTAATATTTGCCAAACTGTGGGTACATCGCTGCATCATAGCTAGGTGTGTTGTAACCGAGAGCTCCCACCGAGGTATTGAAGTTGGGAGATGTCACCAAATTCTGCAGAGTCGGCATTTGCCCAATACTAGACTGCATGTAGTTTGGCACTAAGTTGTCATTTTTCGGAATGTTTTGTACGTTTGCCCCCAATTGTATATTTTGACCGAGATTTTGCATATTATGACCCATATTCTGCATATTTTGACCCGGCATTTGGTTTAACGGTACATTCTGGTATGGGTTCATGTTGGGCACTTGGGGATAGAAATTGGGCATTATCGGCGGCGTATAATTTGAGTTCACGGGCTCCGGCTTCCACCACGACACCGGCTGATATGACTGTTCGGTCGGCCAATTCTGCTGGAAGGTGTTAGCTTTGAAGTTGTCGTCTCTGAACTTGTTTTCGTTGTTCTGACTGTCTTGTCCCGCTTGCCAATATCTGTATTGATTGGCGAATCGCGGCGGGAGGTCGTTAAGGAAATTCTTTTTGTCCCCAGAAATTTGGTAATTTTGGAATTTCCCCTCTTGAAACATTTCTTGACGGGAGTTTTGTTTTTGTAAAGCGGCCGTTCGGACGTCGATCTCCTTCGGGTTGACTACCGGGAGTCGAATCCCTTGGTTGGCATAATTCGGGCTGTAGCTGGTGCCGGCGTTTTGTGGGCCGAAGCTTTTTTGGTAATTCACTCTTTGCGCTTCATAGTTTTGCTGCCACGGCGATTCCTGCCTTTGTGCTATATTTTGATTTGGGGAAGGCTCCTTCTTTTCCTCGACTTTCTTCGGCTCCGGCTCAGCGTTGACCAAATGCGGGTAACCGGCAGACTTGTCCTTAAGAGAAAGTATTCCACCAGTCTTCCTGCCGGTCGGCAGGTTTGCCAAAGATTTGATGGCTTTTGGTTGAATAGTTATAGGTTTGTCATCTTTAGATTCAACGAGATCAGTCGACTCCGGTGTGGGAGGTGGTGTTACAAATTTCACCTGAAAAGTGATAGCAGTTATTACTTCTAAATTGTTATAGTTTGTTCGGTTAATGATTAAACCACTAATGCTACTTATCGGACCTACAATTTCTATGGGAAATAAAGTTTTAACTTTTTTTTCTAGAGTTCCAAATAATTATAAATAGAGTTTTATTTTATGCTTTCCTAATAACAATGAACCATAAATAAATAAACCTGACCTGTTTGTTGGTTTCTTCCTGTTTCCGCATGATGGCAGCCATCGCAATATTGACTCGCGGCTTCCGAGATTCCTTTTTATCTTCAGTTTTCACGCCAGCTTCACTGCTTTCTGTTTCCTTTTAAAACATATTACTTTTACGTATTTTAATATTCTAAATTGCAATTTTACAATATTTTACTTGCGGCGAACGGAAGAGAACTCAAACTCTGCGCCACTCTTTTTATCGTATTAATCTTAATTTGTTATGATTTTGACACAAGTAAACTTAGCGATAATATTCACGTTAATAAAAAAATCCAGAACGTGTACCTACTTTGTATACGTAAATATAATTAAATATAGAAACTTAAAAAAATAAACAAACCGGTATCTCTTCGTTGGTTGTAGCGAGTGCCCGTTCTTCTCGAGCTCGCTCCAACGAACCTTGGGGCTTTAGTATTCCCACACGTTTTTCACGCACTGAAAAAAAATAAACTATCATTTAAATTTAAAAAAAAAAGGGTGCGTCTACTTATGTACGCGCGTAAGAAGTTATACTTCTTTGGCTTTCTTTATTTTTTTAAAATATTAAATAATTAATAACCAATATTTAACGTTAATAATTTAATAATATTTAATATTTAGTATATTATTCAATTATTAATTAATATTAATAATAATAATTATTATTATTTGATATTTTATTATATTATTCATTCAATTTAATAACTATGTATGTTTCATAACCTTTTCACTAAGTAACAATAGGTCTTTGTGAAAAAGCATTGCTAAATTTCTTTGAAAAAGTAATTAAAACTCCTTTATTTGTTTAATAGGTAAATGTCATTATGGTCATTCAAAATTCTTGGCATAGCTGCTAACTTCACGCATATTCTATTTCTTTTTACTTGTAGATTGTCTTATTCCCATCTCGCTCGCGCACGCTATAATCACACTGACAACATTGTGTCTCAGGTGCGCACGCATCGTAAAATTTCACTCTCATCAATTTTTCATAACGCGCCTAAAGAAGTATAACTTCAAAAAACTTTTCAAAGTTCATGCCACAGGAATAACGAAAGCAGAACAGAACAGAAGGGAATGCGTTATTACTCATTATTTTTGATTACCTACCTTTATTATCAAGCATTACCTTTTTCTCTAAAATCAGCCTCCGATATAATGATAGGTGGAGGTGGTTCAATGATTTCTTCTACCGGTTCCAGATTCGATTCCGTGTGTAAACACAACGTTTCTAATGCCTCAGTCAATTGATCACCGCCGACTGCGCTTGCTGTAAAAGTTATTTTATCGTCGTCTTCACTGTAAATAAAAATTATAATTAAAAATTACCACCTTGTTAATGTTAATTAAATAAAAAATAAATATAAATAAAAAAGTTTCATACGTATATGTTAAATTCTCAGGAAACAGTTCTGCTAGTTTCTTCCCGAGTAACATAAGTCTGCGCGCGCGCACTCGATGCTCCAATTCCGGTTCCCCGACTAGACTGAGACTGCTCACATCTGGCCTATATATTATTATTATATTAATTAATACGTATTTAAAACTTCAAGTGAATATTATAACTTTTGTATTTAAAAAACACGTAATTTTCTACAGCACACATATATTTGCGCCTCCTTATTTTTGACAGTATACCAACATTCTGGCAAATGATTTAAGGCAAAGCGAAGAAATATCTAAAATAAAATATATGTTTTTCACAGATGAACCCGGGACCTATTATAAAGCTAAATACGTTAACGTAAACGTTTGAATCTTTTGAAGTGAAACTTCTTTAGGCGCATGAGGGTAATTTTTTTACGGATGAAACGCAATAATAATAATATTAGCGTCACGAAGATGTGCAGCGTTTTTGTCGAAGAAAAGGTAGAGAGCGATTGAGACCAATTGAGAGATAAATTTAAAATTAAAATTCCGTTAAAGAGAATTTATGAAATATTAGTATGTTATTAGTATTTTATAATTTATGCAAAAAAATTATTGAAATCTCAAATGACGAATTGTAAATTAAAATGCCACGTGTTTTTATTATCGAAGAAATAAATTTAAAAAAATAAACTTATTATTTATATTAATTTTTGATACTTTTAATATTTTAATAACAATTAAATTCATTAAATTGTACATACTTTGATTAATTAAATATATTCTATTTTACAAAATCTACTGTTTGTTCCTACCATACAAAACGCCAATTTCATATATAAGGACCTAATAGTATTCAATCTTTGGCTATATGCTTATACAATGATTTTTTTAATGGCTCTGGCACGATTGAATTAGCCAGCGTCAAGTATAGGATTTTTTATAATACGTGCTTGTCTTTAGAAATTCAACCGTGTCCTTCATGTACGGTTTAAGCACTCGCCCGATACCGCACAACGCTCCCAAAGACCGAGAACAAATTTAAATTAAATTAAAACTTGCCCTCGAACCGGGAATCGAACCCGGTACACCTCTCACCTAGCTGCCACTTAATAAGACCGCTAGGCTATGAGGCCCCCTACTATGATTTTTAATTCCGTAGAATTCTGACACCTATAATTTTTTGACATATTACAAACCTTTTTGGTCGGGCACATTTTTCAATTTCAATACGAGTCTGAACATCTGAGTCTATTTATACATTTTATTTGTTAGTGAATGTATCCATATTATTAAGTGCGGTGCTCAACGTTAAAAGCGGTTTTACGGCAAGTGATAACTGCTTCCCTTTTCATCACAAACAGTAAAAAAGTAAAGATAACTTTTTTTAAAGGTTTAATAAACCTGGAATTGCTAGGCAGTGATGCCAGCTAAAGAATAAATAAAGTTAATTCGATATATTGTTCGTGATATTGAAATATTTGTCATGTTTGTAAGTACTTGAGTAAGTAAATATTAAGATTTACCTTTTTGTAGGTAAAACATAAAAAATACGTAGCATTTTATTTTATTGCCCTCAATTGGGTCAAATTTGTCCCTTTTTCGATGGAGAACTTTTTTAGTAGCAACATTTATGAAATGTCAGAATTCTACGGAATGAAAAATCAGAGTATAGTATAATTATTTTTTGTTGTATATAATTTATGTAAGCTGTATTACGGAAATAGATAATAAATCAACAAACAAACAATACCACATTTAAAACCCATTAAATGATTGAAATAACTGTATTTTAATAATAATTATGTATCAAAAATACTTTACGCGATATCTCCATCGGATTCCGGTAAATCTTGATAGGTGTGGTTTTCGAAGGTGAGCCCTTTCAGAGCGCCCTCTAGCGGCAGGAAACCGTTCAGCTCTTCGTCCTCTGGTAGTGGAACCGAGTCAACTAGAAATATGTACATTTAAAATTATCCATACAATAATTCATACAATATAATCTAAAGTTCTTATAAAATTACATTTATCATCATTGAGCGAAGCGGTGTCTCCTAATTTATTGAAAACGTGCGCCAGCGCAGCCCAAATTTGGGGCCGCGTTTTCCATGCGGATGTCCTGATCACTTTCGTTTGGCAAACCGTCCATTGCAGGAATATTTTTACTGAAACAATAAATATAAATAAACATATCATTTTTTTTTTTTAAAGACAATTCACACCAATTGACCTAGTCCCATGCTAAACTGGTGAAGCTTGTGTTATGGGTACTAGGCATCTATAATATGTATGTATATCCGTTGCCTAGTACCCATAACACAAGCTTCCCAGCTTAGCATGGGACTAGGACAATTGGTGTGAATTGTCTTTAAAAAAAATATACATATACGTGTGTGTGTGTGTTTTTGTGTGCGTAAAATATTCCCTATATTTTAATTTCTAGTAATTATGGGTATATTTATATTACAAATGTTTTATTTCAATTTGAAATACATACACGTTGGCAAGGTTCTAGTCAAGAGTTCATCCGCAGCATAGGCCGGCAGCAGCAACGCGAGAAGTGTCGCGGCGGCCAGAGAAGCGGCCAGTTGAGCTGCCTTCCCTTCAGACTCAGTCAGCGCTTCGCTATCCAACGTTAGATCCTCGGTTGTCGAGTGCACTATCCATATGATGACACAGGCCATCTGAAACCATCATCATAATCTGGATATAATGGAGAGACTGGGTCTACGGGTACAAAGTAAAAACCTGAGGCGGAGGTCTCAACTTTTGGATGTACCGCGCGCACATTCCAACTTGGTAGCGAAGCGCCACTCACGCGAGCAATACATATATGAAATAGAATTTCTGTTAAGGTAGACCTATTTGTTTGTACACAGGCTGAGTTCACCAGAGTTGCTTCCTATATTATTAGTTAAAAGATTTAGGCACATAAATATATTTCTTTCATGTTTTATGTAGGTTAATCGGTGTGGGTATAATTATTGTGTTGTTCTATCGCATTAGTAATAGAATAATGATGTGGAATAAATAAATTAATAAATAAATCATATGGAAAGGACAGTGCCTCTATGGGCATTAGAATTTTAGAATGGCTAAAGTGGGGCATGAAATAAAGAAGTTGGGAAACACCGTCATACAGGCTGTAGAAAACTAGAATTGTTTGATAAAATAGCACATGTCATAGAAAAATCTCTAATATTATAATATAAAATCTATTTGTAAAACGTTGCGGGGCGGGGATTGAATTACGCGTTAATGTTAATATTATTGTCGACTTTCCAGTACTTTACACCACATAATGGTAACTTTTAGGTATAAAGAGTCACTGGGTGGTCAAGAAACGTTAAAACGTTGTACCCAATAGTAAACTACTGGGTAAAGAAAAACGTTACGGCACGTTACATGGGGGGTGGGTGTCAATAAACTCCAAAAATTGCGTGACGTAATACTTGAACTCTCCCTAATAGAGAATAGGACAAATACTTATTTTCTGTCTTGGTGGAATCCGTTTTAAGATTAATGGATATATGTATCTCCATTAAATTAAGATAATAGTTTAAATAAATGCGCACCTTTGCGTAAAAAGATTTGACCCTTATTAACACACAACTTTACTAACATCTAATAATGGTTTTGTTTTTAGAATATCAATCGATTCTATTCCTAATACGAGATATATCCCGAGCCGTATGGCCCGAGTAGAACAATTATATTTTTGAATATATAAAAATAACATACCTTGATAAGTGTAAGTGAATCGAAACTGTCCGTCGCGATGAGAGGAGATAACGAATAGTTTAACGTGTTGATTAGTTCAGATGCGCTGTCCAAACTGAAAATAAAAAACTTGTGTTAAGTTAGTATAGAAGAGCATTGATCACGACACGACATGGGAACTTTCACAATTTTGTAGATGCTTGCATGACAAATGAAGCGTTCTAAATTTTTTAAGTCCTACTAATTCAAACATACCAAACAAAGATTTAAATGTTATGTACATGTGGTATTGTTTGTTTGTTGATTTATTATCTATTTCCGTAATACAGCTTACATAAATTATATACAACAAAAAATAATTATACTATACTCTGATTTTTAATTACGTAGAATTCTGACATTTCACAAGTGTTGCTACTTAAATAGTTCTCCACCGTAAAAGGGACAAATTTGACTTATTTGAGGGCAATCAAAAAAATGCTACGTATTTTTTATGTTTTACCTACAAAAAGATTAATCGTAATATTTACTTATTACTCAAGTGACTTAATACAAAAATAACAAATCTTTCAATATCACGAACAATATATCGAATTAGCTTTAATAACTTTGTTTTATTCTTTAGCTGGCATCACTGCCTACTAATTCCAGGTAGGCATAATTTAAGATATAAAATGGCTGAATATTTTGTATTTCGGCTGTAGATGGCGCTGTTATTAGAATAATTTATTAAATACGTACATAAAAAAATTAACTTACTGCTCAACATTATGTAGGAAGTGTATAGCTCGCAATAATTCAGTAACATATGAGTGAGAGTCCAGCCTTTGTTTGGTCACTGCAACCGACTTAGTTTCCGTCACTCCGGTGAGAACTGGCAGAATTGTTAACTCTTTGCCGTCGCGACTGAAAATTATGTTTTTAAGATTTATCTACTTATTCTATCACTATATTTGAATTGAAGACTCTGAGTACGGGTAGCTAGTATTAGGAATAAGCTTAAGTTGAAAATCAACCAATTTAAATAATACTTAAATTGAAATAAATTTTAATCACCTGAACGTAATAACAATCCAATCATTCATTTTATTAGTTGCGTATACAATCCTATTCATTTTTTTTTTACCAAAACGATTTACAGCTAGTAAAAGATTTAATCTCAAAATTACTATTAAAATTTAAATCTCTTACCTGGCAGCGGCAGCCAAAGTGCGTGCGAGGTTAGCAGGCGCGGGTGGAAAGGGCGCTCGTACAAGCAACGAGCGAACATGCCAATACACTGCTGCTAGGCGACGACCTCGACGCCAAGCCACTAATGCTAGCTACAAAAAAACAAAAAATATATATCTTCCTTGGTTAGTAACAAGAAACTGGAAGATCCTAGGTTAATTTCCCTGCAAAACAATTGTTCTTCCGAGATGACAAAAGCTAGTTTTCCAAAAAAATAACCAGAGGCAGACACTGATTTATTGAGGCTACTTCATACATTACTTAAACAAATATCGTAATATATGTATATTACTAGTCAGCAATACTTGAAATTTAGAGACATCAAAATATATTTTATTACTCTTAAGGTTGACATATATAATTCTATTTTCTATATTGAAAACATATAAGTACTTGGTTATAAGGCTGTCCAGAATGGGGAGACACAGCCAAAGCATGCCTATAAAAGGTGTGGGCAACTCGTAGCTGTTGTCTATATCGGGCTAAATCACCAAGGTGTACAAGGCAATGTTGGCAGGCATATCTTGCTCCTGCTACTCCAGATTTACTGATAGCCATCCCGCCACTAACTTCCCAACCTTCAATTGCACCAACGAGGGATGCACGGCGTCTAAATAAGAAGATTAATGTGATCATTTCAATTTTGAAAAACCTACTAATATCTATTTCACTTTTTAATATTTGTACTCCAAGTAGTTTAATATTTTTAGTCTATAATCCAGTTATAAATCATGTGTATACAGTTTATAACAAATTTTTTTAAAATAACCATTGATAAAATATGTTAATCTACACACCTGAATGGCAAATCTAATTTATATGTTGTACAAATCTGATGCAGGAGACATAAGTAGAACCCTGCTGCAGCCTGCAATACCCATGACAACATTGCTTGTCCTTCACTCCTTTGAGCATTCTAAAAGTTTGAATAAGTAATTTATTGAATAAAAAGCAATGAATTATTAAAATTTAAAAACTACATAATAGTAAGAAGTAAAAATTTGTTAGATGGTCTTTTAAAAAGTCTGGTAATTAATTATTCAATTAAATACATATTACAACTGCACCTTTCTGTCCTTTGATATGGCCTGTAACGCCTCAATCTGCTGCTTGAACCCTACATTCCAGAGATCTTGTTCTACTTTCTTTTCTAAGGCATAGTCCAAATCTAATGTCAATACTTTCTGATAAGTCTGAAATAAATATGTGTTCATTAAAAACATAATTTTTCAAAATAAAAGTCAGTTTTGAATAGCACAATTGATTTTTTACTATTTTGTAATAACTTTAATAATATAATAGAGTACACAATCTTTCTCTAATGCACTTAGATTATGAGATATGAAAATAATAATTTCTAATACATACTTTCTGCAACTGTTGTTGTGTAGTCCAAAGACTTCTGTCTTGCAACATTGAGGTTCCACTGTTACATTTTAAAACTTTCTGTTTTAACTCATCTGCATCTCTGAAATTAAGAATTATTTTATAAATACATAACAAATATATAGAACATAAGAAATAATCATTATTGTGCTAGCACTAACCTTAAGACTTGAGCAGCTGCGTTTAAAACCATTCTAAAATGAGGCTTAGCGCCTCAGTTTTTGTCATAGCATTTGGAAATTAAAATTGATTTAAGACCTACGCGAGCTTAACAATAAAGAAAATTTTCTAAAAACAATTCGCCATCAAATAAAATATGGCATTTTCATTTTTCAGGATAATCGACAGCTGTCACGAGTGTTAAAACTAATAAGATTGACACAATTAACATACTCTGTTCTCACAGATTCAGACTAACTAAACAGGAGTGAAATAACGATTTTCAGATTTCTTATTTAAATTTGTACTAACATTATCAAGTAAGAGTTTGTTTGTTAGTTAGCACGCGCTAACCGAGTAACTTCTGGTTCAAATGAATAAAATGGATATTAAACAACATTACGCAAAACAAAATAAGATCACATCATGTACGTACAGTCGTACACTGCGTAAACGGTTAATGTTTGTAAACATTACGTATGACGGAAGTTTTTCTATAAAACTCCTAAAAGTCCTAGTAATAAATTTAATTGTAATAAGTGTAAAAAATATTAAATTCAGATATATGAGGTAAAGCTAGTTTTTTGTAAATAGCAATTTTTGGTATGTTGTTAACATATTTTTTAGTTAAATCTTTTTCACCCTTTTTTTTTAAATATTATGGCAATAGATTTGACTTTATGCCATTTTCACCCTTTTCGATCAGGGCAAGTTCGTTTCGTTGACATTATAGCTAATCTCTTTGGTACGGGGTCATATTTGAATAAACTCTAACGGGTTTACCAATTTTGCTCTTGTTTTTTTAAATATCGGTAGCGACGCGTTTATTTTCGAAGATGACTTTTATTCGTCTAGTTATAAAATTAAGTTTGTCTCCCACATAATTCCTGCTTGAGCAAAATAACGCTCTTAACAGGGACATGGATTAGGCGAAACTGTTACGGTGCTCCCCATCCATAGCATGCAGATGGTGCTCTTGGGCTTTAGTGGGTAGTGGTCCATTACACCTCACGATCCGACCACGACACTCCCCGAGTCACTTTAACAAGTTGCCCGGCGCGGTTTTCCACCACATTGATTTCCCAACAGTAAAAAAAGGTGGACGATATATAACAATTATACATAATAAGTCAACTTTCAATATAATGCAATTGGCGTCACATAAAACTGGCTCATTATTTATGGTATAATGTATTATCATACATTACAATAGTAACTACTTAGTTTTATTAAACTACTAGATAACCGGGTCAATTTCGTATCGCCTACATAATATATTTCTGTAAAATATAGTCAAACCTCATTACAAAATTTTCATCTACATTATTAAATGCAACACAGTTATCCAAATTTCTGAACGATCCTAAAAATATTTAATATCGAAAATTAAAATATTTTTTCTTTTGTATACATGGTTCTCATCGTTTTAACCTTGCCTGAACTTTCACAAATATTTCAAGTTAAAAATTAGCCAACACGGTCCAGCCAGTCTCGAATTTTAACGAGATCAACAACGGCAATTTATTTTTATATATGTATAGGTTAAAAATTAATAGTTAGGATTTCGTTAAAATATATTAAAATAAAGTTTGGTAGATATTAATTTATTTTTTATGAACGCAGTGCATCTTAAAATGTAATACTTTAGTAAAATAGTTCTAAAGAAAGTTACGTTTTCTAGAGATAGTTATAGATATATGTGTATAGAGCAGGGTTACAATTCCACTTTGTAATTTTTTTAAAACGTAATTTAGTTTTTATTAAACGAGTTTCCTTAATAATTAAGATAACAAAAACACAACATTTATTATTTTATCCTTTAGTCTAAATATATCCACATTATAAGTTTTCGGTAATGCGGTCTTGATATTTTTTATTTATAATTGTAATAAAATTACTGCATACTGCAATATTGCTAAATTAATATGTTATACCAAAATTACCTTAAAAGCTGATAGGTACCAAACAATTTAAAATTATACATTTTGATGTATAATTTATATTGTATGGTATGTATATAGTGAACGTAAACATTTATTTATTTCCTATTTTTACAGTAACTTAATTCTAATACAATAGAAAACTAAACTAAAAAATTAACAAGTGAAAACTTAAAACCTACTTAAATCTTTTTATAACTAATTATAAATAATGACATGGAACAGTTACAAAATAGAAAGATGCAGTAAGGCAATGGAAATAATATAGCTTAGTTCACAAGGTTTTAAAATTCCAATAAAATTTAGATCATAAGAAAAAAATATCAAAATGCAATGTATGTATTCTCGACATGAATGAGCAGACCTGATGTCGTAACCTTCTAAAATGTTTAATCATTCAATAGTGCTTTGAACTTTCATCTAATATAATTTCCTTAAACGTATATTAAATTGTTAACTGTTATTAATTAGAATATATTCCCTTTTAGTTTAATTTTCCTTTGTTTCAATTTAATTCACTTAGGTACTGTTTTCGACTTCTTTATAGATAATTTTCAGGTATTCCTTTTTTTGCGTACATCCACATTTTAGATTACATTTAGATAGGTTTCACTAACTTAACATAAACCTACTTGACGCTGGCTAATGCACAAACCGTGCCAGAGCCATATAGGAAAAAAAAAAAAACTTAACATAAACAAAAATTCCAATCCAGACAGGTTACTGTAGGACATACTAAAATGAAACATTATGTTGAAATATAACTTTTATTAGATATCATAATATAGGTTTAGTTATTCAAGCTATTTGTTACTGTTTTGAAAAGGGTATATTATAAAAAAACAATAATAATATTTTTTTATAAGTCTTCCGTTTTTATAGAAAATAAGTTGGAATTGATAGAATGAGCCAAACATGTGTGGATATATTTTTACACAATCGCCCACATAACAGGTTAAGTCAACATATTTTTTATAAATAGAATTATCAATGACAAGTTTTATTCAACATTTTTCCCTGTACACCTTTTAGGAAACTAAAAATTTACACAATTCTCTTATCAATTCCGCATTATTAATTTCATCAAATATGTTATTTTCAAGGGCTGATTTATTTTTTTTAATAAATATTAAAGATGCTGTTTTCAATGAATGAGAATTATATGAATCAGCAACAGCTAGCATTTCCAATGCATTCTCTATTGAAATTTGTTGAATCAAAGCATGTTCAGATAATTCTCTCAAACCAGAGAGATTAAACCTGTCTGCAAGAATAAGCATATTAAAAAAATTTATATTTTCCACCTCTTTTAGAGTCCCAGAATAAATAAAATATAGAAGATGTCGCAGCTCCTCTTTGTTTACATCTATTAATTTCACGCAGTTGTTTTTACTCTCAGCAGTGTCTTCTTTTAGCATCGCCCTAAAAACTTCACTATGAGCCATAAGCAAGACTTTATGTACGAGAAACTTTTCTCCATCTTCTGATTCTATTGTAAAGTCTGCTCCAATTGGTTCTTCCAAAAGTGGGCTAAAATCTAGAACTGCATCCAAAGAACTAGCATTCTCATCTTTATCAACAAAAGATATGGGTATAAATAGTTGTTTACCTTTAAGCATATCTACTTCAATAATATCAAAACTGTATGTAGTCACATACTTGAAAGTTGATTCTTCTAGTTTTCCAAAATCACACTTGTTTAAATTGGGGCTTAGAAATGCAATATTTTTGTCTTTATCAAATATAACTGTATTTCCACTACTTAAACTTAGGCTGACAATACCTTCCAGCTTGTTAGTGATAAAAATGTGAATTAAAAATACATCCCCTATCTGGTCTGTTCTTGTAACAAACCAGTATTCACCAATTTCTTGCATATATGTTCCTCCTAAATCATAATAATTTGGGCGATGAAGTTTTTCATAAATAGCATCAATACATAAAAACTTAGCTTCACGTGTTTGACAGGGTTGATGTCCAAGAATAACATAATTATCCTGAAATAAATATAAATAAATATTTTTTTAATTTCTTTGAATATTAAATAAAAATAATAGAACATACCATTACATAGTCCATTTTTTCCATAACAAAAGGTTACTATAAATAGCAAGAAAAAATCAAAAAGATAAAACTTATGTTTTCGTAATTTTTATTAAATGTGAACGGTCGCGGGTTGACTATGATTCACCTGAGTTAAAAGTAATAATTGTGTCAGAGGATATACAAGTTGGCTACAGGAAAATGTTATCTTGCTTACTAACGATATTACCGAATGATTAAGAAAATATTATGAAGTAAAGATAATCACTATAAATAACAGCGCGAATAAACTGAATATTTGTACAATACATATACATCTAGTATCTGTATTTGTAATTGTATTGTAATTAAGAATTTTTTATTTTATTGTCACAAACTGTCAAATATCAATTTATATTTTCTTGATTTGAAACCGAGCACAGATTAGTCTTATTTTTCTAGATATCTGCATTAGTATGACTATGGTGATCGTCAAAAATGGTCACGTGACCAAGTGTGAGCTAATGTCATTCCCATACAAATTCGTTTAGCGTTATAACTCATGACTTTAAATTTAGACAATATGAAAGTAAATATGTTTTCTTACACTCCTTTTGTATGTAGATTTATAAGAATTGATATTTTATTTTATAGATTAATTATTTTCTATTCCTAAATTCCTTTCCAGCCGATAATTTTATGTTTTTACCCGTTTCCCTGTTTTTGACCCTGGGCCACAATGCACAAACCGTGGGGGCCATTAAAAAAAAACTCATGACTGTCGAAAAGGTTTTGTCTCAAGCATTGGCCGCGATTGGCCACTTTTCTTTTAATACATAATCTGAATTTTTATACATGTATAAATAATTCCACAGGACAATAATTAGTATTAAAACAAAATAAAATTATTTAACTTTTATTATAAAAACATGTTTTTAAAAATAATACATTGCTTATAATAATTTTAAGTGTATACCATATTCTTAAAATGCCACTTATATAATAAGATTTTTTTATCCAAATGATTTATATTACTTAAATAATGTTAAGTAATTTACATATAATTATTTATCAAAATAAATATGTTCAAACAATTTCTTAGTTAAAACAATATCATTAAGGTTTTTCCAAGCATCAGTTTCTAGCACCTCTGGATTTTCCTTGAAAAATTTAAAAACACTTTTCTCCACCTCTTTAAGTTGGTATTTTTGTGACAGTTTTGCAATATCCAAAGCATTTTCAATGCAAACCTTCTTTCTGATAGTAGTCTCTATAAGCGGATATAAATTATTTAATTTGAATTTTTCCGCCAACTCCAATAATACCTCACTCTCATATTTGTTTATATCCTGTATATTGCCAGAATATATATATTCCAAAAATAATTCAATAATTTCATCTTTTATATCAAAAAACATAGAGTCAGTTGATGATGATTTAATTAGATCTCTCAACACAGGGCTGTGAGTACATAACATTATTTTATGTGTGGGGAATTTTTTATGGCTAGCAGATTCTAGAGTAAAATCTGACTGCTGTTGTTTTATTATGTTTCCTATATTATGTTTTGCCTGAACTTTTTCAACAATTGTTATATTTAGTCCAAAAGTAGGTGTAACTTTTAACTTAATTGGAATTATTAATGCCTTATTATTAAAAACACCTTCTAAGTCCGTTTTATAAAAATTAAATGTTTTTATGAAATGGCACTGGTCTGGTTTTGATGATTTGAATGACTTCCATATTAAATCATCATGCAGAAAAACATAATCTTCATGTTTAGGTTCAGTTTTCAGTTGACTTGATTTACTAATACCAACAGAGAAAAATCCAACATTTCTATGGCATACAAAAAGATTGAGTAAAAGATTGTCAGAGGGACAAATTTCTGTCATTATGTAGAACCATAATTCTGGTTTTTTATTAGTAAATGTACCAGCTACATCATATTCATCAGAATACTCAAGCTTATATCCTATGTCAAAGATACAAAGCCTTTCGGCATCACTGGTTTCACATTCTTGAATACACGATATTGTAGCTTTTTGGAACTGCAATGAAAAAAAAACCATTGAGGTAGAACTCACAATAATTATAATTGGGAAATCAGAAATTTGATGAATATAACAAACCTTTAAAGGCTTTTTGCTATCTAACATAGTATCCTCTGGTGTAGCCATTTCACTGTCTTCCATTTTTAACTTCAAGTATACTGAAATATATTACAAAGATGCAATAACTTACAATGTGTTGAGTCATATTGCATCACAACACATAAATTAAATATATTATGATTGTTAGTCATTACAAACATATTGTATTTTCACTATGTATGAAATGATATAAGATAAGCAAAAATCCCTCCTGGTGCTCAACTTTATGATTTAAAATTTAAATTAATATTAAGAACAATTTCGTGTTATTTCCAATTTTATGACGATAATATGTTAGTATTAGTTCTTATTGTTTTCAAGTGTTTTTTGAAGAATATCTTACCTATCGTACCTATTTATTCTACTTCACAAAAATAAATCATAAGCAGATAAATGATTTACATACCACTAAATCCTTGAAGTGCCCTCAAAGGAAGAATAAATTTTGAACTATGTTTTGACTCTAAGACTTATTTAATTATTGACTGTATTGAAGTACCAGTTAAAAAGAATGAGCCATAGGTCATTCAATTACTTACTAATGATTATTAACAAGGAAAAATAAAAATTTATAGGCGAAGACATAGCCAAACGTAAAACGTATTTTCCAAATTTACTTAATGTTTTTATTGTGTCTGTCAATGTCGGGATGTCAGAATCCAAAGCAATCAGAATAGTGCAACACTCATAATATGTCAAGATATCTAAAATCCTATAATAATCTAATACAACGTGAAACATTTTAATACAATTTATATACATCAACATATAATTCAACAAATGACACGACAGCTGAAGGGTCATTTAAAGCCGGGTCCACATTTGTAGCATTTCGGTGTATCGTATCTCCGTTGCGTGGCTTCGGCGCGTATCATGATCGTTAGTTTGGACGCAAAATGATACCCGTTTATGATACATGCCGTATCGGATACGGCCCGATCCGCACTAAGCGCGTATCTTGATACACCTCGTATCCGATACGCGTATCACGATCGGTGGTATGGACGTATTTTGATACTGTATCACGATACTGTATCGCGATACGATACTTGATACACCGCGAACCATCCTGTGTCGGTTTTTTCGCGATCATCAAAGGGAATACACAACATCAATGGGTGACATGCGAGTGAAATTTTTGTATTTTCCGCTGGTATACTGAAATTTTAAATCTCGCATCAATGGTATTCCACCATGTTTGTTTCGGTTTCTAAACACTTCCAGCGCCGTCTACGTCTAGATTTAACTTTTTTTAAATACTATTAATGATAATATAACAGGCGCTAGTCACCGCCAAACTGTGAGCAATTGCTGACATGGTTAAACCGTTTGGGAACGAAGACATGACTGAACATTGCGAGAAGGGAAAGGTGCACTGAAAGACACGCGCATCATGATACATCGGAAGAAAAGTGAAGCGTCTATATTTGTAAAGTTAAAGCCGATACACTGACATGATACAGCATTTGATAAGTATGGACGCGTTTTTTACAAGATACGCCTTAAATATACGACATGGACAAAATGAGCGTCCATATTTATGATACAGATACTAGATACGATACGACTGATCGTGATACGTCAATATGCTACAAATGTGGACCCGGCTTAAGATTTTGTGGCTTAATTTACTGTGCTACTGTGTTAGCACGGTGAATTAGGCTTTTGTCACTAGACTACTATTATTACACTTTTTCGGTTTAAAGTACAAAGCAGGAAATGATGTTTGAAAATTTTCGTTGAGTGCTTCGCCTGGCCTACGAATAATGAAAATACTAATTCTAAGCGCCTGATGATTTAAAACAGCAAATTTAAACATTAGAAATCCAGGCCAGGCAAGGCAATTTACTTTTTTCATTCAATCTCCAACATCTCAGCAATGCTGCATTTTCAAGGACAAATCTATCAGTAGTCAGTTGGCTGCCAGCAGCCGAGCGAGACACACGATGGTATCGCTATGACGGCACAACGCGATCGTCGCGACGACAATGTCGAATTGTTACCTTTAAAATCTATGCTAGTGAATAATAATTACAGGGAAGATGAAGTGTACTATCCTCCGGCTCCAGCCCTTAATAATAATCCGTCGAGTTCTAATCTTAACGACTATACGCTCCTGTCTAAACGCACGCCGGCCTCAAAGCGGTATTTTCTTTGTATTCTTTCATTTCAAAATATCTTTTAAATAGAAAGTAATAGTGTTTTACTTTAACTTCCGTATGAAGGAAATATACAAATTATACAATCATAACGTTATTAAATTTTTTCTATTTATGAAGTAATTATATATTGCAGTTTTATGTAGTTCAGTTGTTCTGACTAGATTGAGTTACAGATATCCATTCATACATTACAGTAATAGGAGCTTGTCAAAACAAACATATGTTTTATTATCAGTAATATATTATCTCTAAAGGCTTTTATCAAGAAATGCTCAGCCGTCGACGATGCCACCACTGTTGACACTGTGTGGTGCTCCTCCGCCTTCTAGAAAACGGGAGGAGATAGCAGCTCTTGCTAATTTGAGGAAAAAAGTGGCTCCTGCACTCTTACGTCATGATAGGTAACTTTAAGAAAGAATAATTTATTTTATTTCTTACGTTATAAAGATTGAAAGAAGAAAAAAAGACTGAAGCATGCACATTTAAAGATATACATACTCTCATACCTGCTGTTTTGGTCATTATATAAATTCGGTTATAAAAGATTACAGGACTACTAGATGTAAACAAATATTGCGATTCCCCTGAGGGTTCTTCTTTTCAGATTTTTGTATAGTTTAACCAATAGATAGACAATATGATTCCTGATGATGTTTAATTGCAAACTTCATTGTTATGTAAATGGACTGAATTACATATTATGATTGTTGTTATAAAGGTCTGCACGAAATCATATTTAAATACTTCGCGGGCGGAATATAGTTATAGTTCAATTAACTCACCGTCCTTTAACCAAAATTCATCAAGATGGATTTAAGCGTGATAGTGTAATACACTTAATTAATGTTTGCTATAAACTTTTTATCAGTTCATTATTTCATATTTCACACCTTTACCTATAATATTTCTTACAAATTAACAAATAATTACGTAATTAAACTGCTTATTTTAATTAACATATTGTACTTTGTTAAGAAACCTTGAAGTTTATCGCACATCTATTATTAGCTCCAGACACGCACCCCTTGAAGGGTAATTTTCTTTAGCGCGCCATTTCGGAACTTGTAACGAATACGTTGTTAAATCTGTCTTACTATGTTTTAATATTTGTAGTTTTAGCCTCTGACAAACAGTTACTTAAACCAACTACAATTGGATCAAAGCTAGACCAATTACTATTTTTTTAGCAATGAACGACTTTCAAAGTTAGATAAGCTAACCAATAAACGGCTCACGATGAATGATGTCAATCAAAAGCGAGTTGAATTTACCTTAAGGTTGGAGTAGTAACTGGCTAAAGGAAGTTTTTCATGAGCACTTTTTATAGATTACAAATTATTAAATTTCAAGCAAGTCATGAAACCAATATGGACGCAAAGTATCCAACTGTTACAAAGAGAATTTTTTTTTCGATTCCCAACCACGTTTCCCAAAGCCAGTTATTGGTCGACATCCTAAAATGCGACTTAAACACAGAAAGCGTCGACAAAGACATTAAAAAAACATCTCAAAGCTAACTCGGCATAAGCGGCCTCAACGTAATAATGAGTCCGCTTAGTTCCTCGATACACAGGGCTAGAGAGTAGACTCAAAAGCATCTCGATACACAGAGAGCGTGGACTTAAAAGGATCAAGGCTTTTGAAGTAGTGTTATTTAAGCTACTAACAATATAGTGCAAACTTAAGTAAAAAGCTTAAGTTATAGATATAGTATATATACACTGTGAACTTATATAAGTGTTATGTTTATATGACAGTTCTTTACATTAGTGAGTGGATTTTAAATTCAGTAAATCCTTAGTATTTATGTCAGACTATTACAATCTTTTAAATTGAATTAAAGTAACTGGAAAAAATCAGTTCTACGAAAAATTAAAAATCCCGCAACAGCTTATAGACAAGAAACATGTTTGGTTTCATTGTGGCCATCTGTGTCTGACAATCCATTACAATTATTACCCTTATTAAGTATAAATATATGGGGAAATTTACACGTACCTACATGAAAATAGCATACTTTCATGAATACTGAATTACTTTTAATTTGGAACTAAAACATTTAAGAATAATAAAAAAAGAAAGTGATGATATTATTTTAGCGTTTTTTTTATTTTCGAATAAATTTATTATAAACAAGCAACAACGGTATTTCATCGGATTCCAAAAACTAGAGTACAACGTGCAAACCTAAAACAATATTTAAAATTAATTTTTTGATAAGAAATACAGGATAATACAAAAACGTCACCATAACCAATTTATAAGACCCTTGACTAAATTAATCACATAAAGTCAGCTTTAAATAGTTAGGTATTAAGAAAAATTTTGTAAGGCAGATTAAATTATTCGTCCCGCATTCTGACAATTTCTAAGTGACCTTACATTTCAGGAGGGCAATAAAAAACAACAACGACCCTGCAGATAATGAAACGGAGCCGCTTGATAACCGACCCAAATTGTTACAAAAGGTAAGTGGCGTATTTTACGAGTATGTTTTTGAAGTGAAACTTCTTCAGGCGCATGAGGGTAAAATGTTTACGGAACGTCACGAAGATATGCAGCGTTTTTGCCTAAGAAAAGGGAGAAAGCGATTGGGACCGATTGAGAGAGAGTGAGAAGGGTGAATTACATTATAGAAATTCTATTTTAAAGTTCTCTGAAGTTGAAGCTAAAGTTGACTCTGTTCTGTGCACAAAACATCCGTTTTATTTGCAATAACCTTTTAATATACTTGGAGTGATAAAATCAAGACATCAATCTATATTATTATCGGCGTGAAGTTCTTATAAAGATGCGTTAATTTTTATGGAATCATTTAATTAAATTTCAACCTCAACTAGGAAGCAATTAGTCGTAGGATTTTAAAACTTGACATCGTGGTCAAATCTTGATTTTGGGGGTTTTCCCTTAAATTTAGAGGGAATTAAGATGTCTTTGGTTTTTAGGAGGTACTTCTTACAATGTACTTTAGTTTTCTTAAAAACGATTCTATTCAATTTATATTAAGCCTAGAGAAAATCCAATCACTATAACTGAAGTATCAATAAGCTATAGGTAATACTCTAAGATCGAAATTTTATACTACTTGAATGTATTTCTGATGCATATTTGAAATTCCCTCTCAAACCGAGTGTACAACAAGAACTTTAGGGGGTCGATTTAGTCGATATTTAGGAGTATTTGAAATTGTTCCTAGGAGGAACATTCTGTAGAAGTTGGCATCACTGTTCTGCACCTATATCCATTATCACTTGCTCATACTCCGCGGTCTCGGTGTGTCTACTATATATATACCTACCTATATTTCTACACATGACAGAACCAAAAAAATCTCAACCAAAATGGTCGAGTTTTGGGCACAGAAGGCTGATCATTACTTGCCTTTTAAGAAACAATTTTAAATGAAAGAGTTGCAAAAATGTGTCTACCATGCCGCATTGTGAAAGTAAAATTGAAGTCTATTTATATTCGTACTCCATACGCCGATATAGCTTTGTTAATTGGTAATTTGCGAATGCACCAATCAAATTTCATTCATAAAACATGAGCAGTTTGATATTCCAACTGAAATTAATTTGTTATGCCTAATAGACGTTCTATATACAATATTATTTACTTATTAAACTTGCCTATATTTTTGACAATGATTCAGCATGGATTCCATGGTATCTGTTTTATTGATGATTAAAGATATTGTGTTAAATTTTTAATACACGATTCAGTCATGAATTTTGTCGCACCTGTCGTTACTTATTATAAGTAAGATTTTTTATCATTTAAGTGTGAATAAATTCTTACTTATTTAAGTGTAAAGCTTGCCTGCTTGTAAAAGGTATCAAATCATCAATGTTTAATTATAAACAAGGTTTAACAAACAAGTGGATCAACAAACCGACAGCTGTTAAAAGTTGATATTGGCTACGAAAGTTTCAATTCAGATCTGACCTATTTCTAACCACCAAGGCGTTAACCTTGAACCACTTTTATGGTACCTCGAAAATACCAACAAAATGGCTCGTTTAAGTATATCTCTGGAATAGCTATGCAGTCTATGCTTCATGCAGTCTATAAAAAAAAATTTTTTTCCATCAAACAAATATTACATTATTTACGAAACTCGTCGTTTCGAGTGGTCAATAGCAATTATGTCTATGAAATTCTCTTTTTTTTTCAAGAAGTTTTATTTATATGTGTAGAACTTGCGTAATCTGTAGACAATAGAATAAAACAACACCGCTTCCAGCACTCACATTTGTAGATTTTTACGTACGTACGTGCAGAATCTGAACGAAGTGGAGGTTTTGCTTTTAGAGCAAGATCCCAGGGCCGCCAGACGTCACGTATTTTCTGACGGATGAAATGTGGACGATTGGGTAGTGTTAGTATGTACTATGATCGTATGCCTACCTGCTAGCTTGGTCAAACGGCCAATTTCCAGGTATCAGGTAATCAAGGTACACAAAAACATTACTTACTTCACGTAAATTCTCATGGCTGATTTTTATATATGTTTTCGAGTGTATAGTTAAAAATAAATTGTCAATACTCCCAGACACTTTCCGTCGGCCATATTGCTTAACAGACGCTTTAAGGGTCTCAAAATAATTAGTCAACTTCACGTAAATTCTGACGCTCCATTTTTATATATGTTCATCCGACAACTATTTTAAAAGCTTTGACACGAAGACAGACCGATCCAAGGGGCCAATCATCCCCTAAACTAAATTTTAATATCTCTATGAGTGAGAGAGCATTATCTACGCGCATGAGACTGAGTGAGACCGACTGCGCTGTTAAAGCCATGAAAATTACTTGAACAGATATTTTATAATTTTTAGAACTTTTGTTGACAAGTAAATTATAGCAACAAAAATAAGAAAAAAATTGACACATAATAAATAATACTAAAGTTAGCCGAAATTATTTTTTTTTCAATTTATTAATTAGAACTAAAAAATATTTTTTAAAAATACCACTTATATTTAAATAGCAGCAATTTTTTTAATTAATTATTTATTGGAAATTTGGAAATAAAGTGGAAAAATATTAATTCTACAATATTTCTTAACAGTGGCTTTTAATCTTCATTATCATCATCATCAAATATCAATCTTGAAATTGAATATCTAAATCGTGATCGTCATCATCAGCATTATCCTTATTTTCTTCCTCTGTAAAAAACAAGTTAAACAATGAAGGTCTGAAAAAACTAAAAAGATACAAATAATATGAGAAACGAAAATAATTTACCTGATTGTTCTTCCAGCGACTCACTGACAAAACCCGGTAATTGATCTCCATCGAACCGATGAAAATCATATTTACCATCTTGTAGTGTCCAGCCATTGTTTTCGGGGTTGAAAATATTTATCATCTTCATACTTGCATTGTTCCAAAGCTAGCCCGTCGAAACTGTTGCCAAACCTCACTTTTACAAGGTGGTAAGTTACTGGCATCGAAGTTTCTTAAATTCTTTCGATTGAATTCTTCATTTATATCAGATACCATGTATGTAAATGATAAACAACTGTAGTCTGGCAGCATCTACATCAATTATTCCAGGAAAATTGTAAACATCACAGATAAATTTTTGTATTATGTTGAATACACGTTCTTCTTCATCTACATCACCAACAAAATCCAACGTACCAAAACGGTGAAATGCTTTGTTGGTACTCTTAATTTTTCTTCAAAATATTAAACGGCTTTTGCTTGCCCTTTTTGAATAATAATAATTTTTCAAGTAATTTTCATGGCTTTAACAGCGCAGTCGGTCTCACTCAGTCTCATGCGCGTAGATAATGCTCTCTCACTCATAGAGATATTAAAATTTAGTTTAGGGGATGATTGGCCCCTTGGATCGGTCTGTCTTCTTGTCAAAGCTTTTAAAATAGTTGTCGGATGAACATATATAAAAATGGAGCGTCAGAATTTACGTGAAGTTGACTAATTATTTTGAGACCCTTAAAGCGTCTGTTAAGCAATATGGCCGACGGAAAGTGTCTGGGAGTATTGACAATTTATTTTTAACTATACACTCGAAAACATATATAAAAATCAGCCATGAGAATTTACGTGAAGTAAGTAATGTTTTTGTGTACCTTGATTACCTGATACCTGGAAATTGGCCGTTTGACCAAGCTAGCAGGTAGGCATACGATCATAGTACATACTAACACTACCCAATCGTCCACATTTCATCCGTCAGAAAATACGTGACGTCTGGCGGCCCTGGGATCTTGGACCATTTTGTTTGTTCTGATTACTTATTGAAATTATTTAATTTAAAAAAACAAAAAAATCGCGCGACAAGCGATATTTCGTTTATATTTAAACCAATTATTTTCGGTTACCTAGTTACAAAATATTATTTAGACTTCATTGATGTATTTTCGTCGGAATGGAAAAAGGGTGGACTTAGTAAAAAAGGAAGGTCGTGAGAGCCCTCCCGAGGTCAAGGGTAGATCCATCCCTAACATGCAAATTATTTCCTTAATCACATCCTGCTTTTAGCTTTACTTTTGTATCTTTAAATCAGGAAATAGCCCGGAATAAATTGAGAATTTATTATTTTATATTATGACTAGCTAAACTAACTTTGTTCCTTAATGTGATTTTACTTAGCCTACCTTTTAGTACATACCAACATGGAACATTTTGGTATGCTACCCCAGAGACTGTTCGGTTTTCCGGAATGAAAACTTTTTAGGTTTTTCTGTGATTTTACTCTATATTAAACCGCGAGTTCAAGTTATAAGTTCTTAACTAACAAATAAAAATAAGGGTTAAACGTAGAGGGTAGATGAAAATTCAGGGTTGTACGTATTTTTGTATGCTGTATCATAAAAAAATGAAAACTAAATTTTTTTCTAAAAAAATAATATTTTGGGGTGGACACCGCTAATCACCTAGGTGTTTGAAGGATAGATAGTTACCGATTCTCAGACTTACTGAATATGCATAAAAAAATGATAAGAATCGGTCGAGCCGTTTCGGACGAGTATGGGAACGAACATTGTGACACGAGAATTTATATATATATTAATTAGATTAAAATAAAAATAAAAAAAGTTTTGTGCATGTTACCTAATTGTATCATAATATACTAATAATTTAACAGTTAGTCCAATTATTTAACCAGTTATGCTTTGGAAACCTTAAATATGAACGTTTAATAATTCGTTCAGCCATAAAATAGACCTATTTATACCAGGCTTCTATAGGCTGAAAGAGATGAATACTAAAGTATTGACGCAGAGGCTTGACGCACGCATTCATTTGCCAATAAGATGCTGCATTTAACTTTTGTGAATGCGACACATGCGTTTTTGGATCATTGTTTTACATTTTCTTTTAAGTTTTTGTTACAATACCCTAGCGAATAATGAAATAAAATAATGTCCAAAGGTCATTTTAGTAATGCATATCAAATTATAATCAAGAGTATATAGTTCCAAGAGAAGCTTTTTGTTAGAACTTCATTAAAAACTAGAAAACATTTTGAATTTTGAAATTTCATTATGTATGAGTTTGTGAAATGGAGTTATTTTGAATTAATGGCTCGAATTTTACAAACATTAAGCTTAGAATTATTGCATGCGTCCTCGTGACTACAGTAGAAATAAATTTCCCATATCTAATAAATTTTTGAAAATTTCAGCAGGACAAAAGTAGAATGGAGTTCACCTTCACCTTACTTTTTTTTAAATTACGATTTCTCGCCAAGATTTCGTTGTTTATTTCGGAATACCTTTATATATATATACCTTTAGTGAACTATTTTAAGTAAATAGTATAACATTTATATTTTTATATAGGTTAGGAGAAATAAAATAACCATGCAGACGTTTTGACAACATTTTTCAATGTATTTACTTTTACATAAAAAAATACATCGAAAAACGGGCAGGATATTATGTTAAATGATTGCCCATGGACACTAAGATTGCCAGAAGGCTCGCAAGTGTTTGCCCGCCATTGTTCTTCCACTTCTTTTTTTTATCGGCTGTATCCCACTTTTATGTTGTATCCATATATTATATTTTTTACTAGTTACTACAAAAATTTACTCCATGGTTCTTTATATTCAGTAGCCACAAAGCCACCCTCGAGTTTAAGAAATATCTTTTTGGCTACCAAATATGGCTACGAGCCAACGCAAGGCTTTCTTATATTTCATGGACATACATGATGCATATACTTTAGGGCGGTTACAGACTAGCGTTTTTTACGCGCGTATAAGCTCGTCTTTGGAAGCGCATACATAGGCGCGCCTTTTGGCACGCGCGCAACTCGTACTAGCGTTGACGCGCTTCTAAGCCCGTAAAAGCGCGAGCTACTAGAAACACTTCGCAGTTCTGGGTAGAGTGTAAAAAAGTGACCGGTTTTCTGTCTTGATGCAACCATCGATGACACCCAGCATCTTTTTCGTCTTCTCAGTCGACGGCGAATAAGTAACGCAAATATCAATGTTTCTTCGTCGGAATCCATGTTGATACTGACACGACGCCACTACCACTTCGAGCGAACACGCGGAAATATTACGCGCGTCCGGTTTTTTGAAGCGCGTATGCTGAAATGTACCGTATACGCCTAGAAAAATACGCTAGTCTATAACAGCCCTTACGCTGGCCATAGACGGACCGCATGTTGCAGTCGATACCGACTGCTCTAAGCGGCCGGTGCACGGCGATCTGCAGTTTCCATACTAAATTCATATCCGCAATACACGGATCGCAGGACCAGTTTCTGAGCGGTCGGAGCAGTCGGAGCAGTCGCTCTGCGGTCGAGTTTCGCCGTGCGGTCGACTGCTTAGAGCTGCCGGACCCACCATACACGGACCGCTACAAGCGGTTGCTGCCGACCGCGCGCCTCTCCCTCAAATAAAATAAAATACTAACTAATTCATCAAATGAAACCACGGACATTCTAAAGTAGTTGAAAAACATTTTAGTGTCTTCTCTAAGCTATGAATGTATGAAATATTCCATGCTGTTCTCTTGATTGTAGTATTGGACGCACCCACATACTACGGTGTCTTCTACGTCTGCGCTTGCGTAATAATAGTACAAGTAGCAGTGTTTCTTCATCGAATTCCATCTTGTAAATGAACTCGCATCAGTATTATTTTGCGGTCGAACACAACTGCTCCAAGCAGTCGTAGTCGACTGCATTATGCGGCCGTGTTGCAGTCGTGTACGACTTCAACCCGACCGCACTACAGCAGTCGGTCTCGACTGCAACATGCGGTCCGTCTATGGCCACACTTAGAAGACTTACATAACTAGATAAAGTCTAGACAATAATTTCGTACGACATCACCTAGTCTAGACTATTTATTTATTTGTCTATGTAATATCACTTACAAACAAAAGAAACACATTGTTTCTGAAACAAGAAAGTGCTCGTTATTTTGTCTACGTACGTAGAATAGATCGAATTTAAAAGAACTGAGTATCCTTCACTAAGGCCCATAATTTGATCTATCCAAAACGTACCATCACCAATAGAATTATTCTACTGGTCAACAGCAGTCTCGAAGTCGCCTTTATTGTTCGCCAAAATATTTTGATCCTATCTGAAGCGACTGGGGGAAGTCAAGTTTTTCCTAACGTATTTGTGTCTTTCAGTGCGATTATCTTTTAATGTATGAAATACATTGTGAGTATATACTCTTATTTGTCGGTCTAACATCCAATAGTATTACAATATTTTAAAGTTTTTGCTATTCTTCCTTTATATCTTAATATATATAAATTACGCGTCACGTTGTTTGTCCTCTATGGTTTAATGTTTAAAGAACTTTATTTCTCATTACAAAAATTATTTTTTATTAACATGAGAAATTTAATATTATATACGATCGAGATACACGTCGCCATCAGCTAGCCCAATTTTAGTCTAATGGGCTCTTTCTGATGTGTATCTTTAATGCCCTTTTAAACTGATTAATCACGCTAATGTTACGAACCTTAGACGGCAACTGATTAAACAATTGCACACCTAATAGATCTCTTTAAATAAGTTGTACGCGGCTTTGGCAAGATAAGCAAACTCGCTCGACGAGTATTGTGTGTATTTATTTGATTTTATTAAGTGATAAGTTACTATGTAGAGTTATTTAAATTTTTTTAAATATGGATACAGGTGCTATAAACATATAGTTGTTTAATCGTCATAATTTGGGTTTCTTGGTAGATTTTATTAGTACTTAACCGATTACAATAAAATTTTCCCACCGTGTGCAGTTTAATCTAACTTAAAAGATAGGGTAGTTTAAATATATATATATATATATATATTGTACGTGTGTATGTCACTGAACTCCTCTTAAACGGCTGGACCGATTTGAATGATGTTTTTGTATGCGTTTGGGTGACGCTCTGGATGGTTTAGATTCATAAATCAGACCGGCAGATGGCGCTGCAGTCGGTACTTTCATACTTTGTTTAATATCCTAATTGCTTGAAATATGATTCAGGACAACGTCTGTGGGGTCCGCTAGTTAAATATATATTATAATGATCAATAAATCTAAGAACTAAGAATGTATTATAAACTTTGTTTTATTTTTTGTATAAATAGGTAAAAATTGTTAACTGTGCTTTTTGTTTATGTTTGAATGTGTATTCCGTTTTTGGCTTTTGTGTATAATGTTTTGGATATTGTTTAGTGTGTAACTGTAGGAATAGTGTTGAAATAAATAAAGATTTCGACCACGCAGGTACTACGAACAAGGCCTGTTAGTATGGTGGTGCAGTGGAGTGAGGTGAGGACAGCGTGGCAGGACAGCGATTTTATTACGGAATGTCTGTGCTGGCATAACGTCTACCGGCAGAGGCATGGAGCTCCCCAATTGTATATGGCGCCTGAGGTCAGTTTTCACATAGTGATAAATATTTACGTAAATGCGCTTTCTTCAACGCAAAAGCTTTGTAGAGGCGAAATGTCCATATTAGACCACAAGCCCATGAACAAAAAATACCTGTGAAATGACCCAACGTGAATAACGCTTAGAAGGCTGTTACTATATCTGAAAATAGCTCTGAGCACTATGCCGTCATTTCTGAGCGGTACATGTGAGTACGTGAGTGAATGGACTTTCTCATGTACAATGGGGGAATTTCGACTAATTATTAATGTACGGCTTTGTTATAAGTGTATAGATGATTAAAAATAAATGTCGAAAAACCTAGTGCCGTACAAAAGTGATGGTGCCGGAAGTCGGTGCAAATTTTTAATTCGACGACAGTTGCAGAAGCAATATAGGTCATTTATTACTGTACGGCATTTGTGTGATTCCTTTTGGACACATATACAGATACTTTACCCGTAAACGCCGTACATATTCCCAGCGGAGCGGTCGAAAGCCAAGGGTCGCAACATATGTTTGATTAGCATATAGGTGATGATGATATGAATCAACATAAAATTAAATGATCTTGAGAGTACTTCACAAATAGATAACATTTTCCAGCATGCCGTACATTTTTTGTGGAACACATAGGTGTATGGGGCAAATTACTTTTCTCAGAAAAGAGTCATTTTCCGGTGACTTTTATCTGTACGGCAATAACACAGGATATTAATACTTTAGACAATCTTCAATAAAAGATTAATGCCGTACACTTTCGATAGTCCGCTACCACCGCCTACCAATACAGGGCGTCCCAAAGTTATGGGAAATGAAGGGAAAGTACCTTAAATATCGTAGATAGGGTATTTTACTAAAATTAGACTTTATGTTACTTAAGGTACTTTCCCTTCATGTCTCATAACTTTGGGACGCCCTGTATTATATATATTTTTGTTAAAAATATTTTTCCTTTACCTCTCTCTGCTGTTACGATAAGGCTGTAAATATACTTTACAGCCTTATGGTAGTATACTCAGATATGTACAGTTATTAATGACCTTAAGGGACACCTCAAACGTCGTCGAAGTTTTTATCAGCTGTAAAGAATAATCTGGAGTGAAATGTACGGCATCTGGTTTTTTTGTTTATTTATATTTGTTACATATAAAATAACAATAATCTTTGAAAATATTACTCCCCATATTACTCTAGGAGCATTTGAAAAGTCATCTAAATTTCGGAAATTTCATATATTTTTTATCATAATATTTTTATTTGTTACCATTTATAATGAACGGCTATAATGTACAACGGTAATATTTAGTAACATTATGTAAAAAAACAAGTTGCCGTACATTATTCTCTGATCTTACAGCAGTAAGAACTTGGTAAATCCTGAAATTTCGATAAATATTTAATTACACAAATATTAACTATAATATTTGGACGGCATATTTATAAAACATTATTGTCCGTGTTAAATAATATTTTGAACATGTTGCCGTACATTTTACAATGACCTTAGGGTATATGGGTGTAGGGGTAGGGTTCCGACCCTTGGCTTTCGACCGCTCCGCTGGAAATATGTACGGCGTTTACGGGTAAAGTATCTGTATATGTGTCCAAAAGGAATGACACAAATGCCGTACAGTAATAAATGACCTATATTGCTTCTGCAACTGTCGTCGAATTAAAAATTTGCACCGACTTCCGGCACCATCACTTTTGTACGGCACTAGGTTTTTCGACATTTATTTTTAATCATCTATACACTTATAACAAAGCCGTACATTAATAATTAGTCGAAATTCCCCCATTGTACATGGGAAAGTCCATTCACTCACGTACTCACATGTACCGCTCAGAAATGACGGCATAGTGCTCAGAGCTATTTTCAGATATAGTAACAGCCTTCTAAGCGTAATTCAGGTTGGGTCATTTCACAGGTATTTTTTGTTCATGGGCTTGTGGTCTATATATTTTTAGCAAGTTTTCTAGACTTTATCGGAGGGGCAGCCCGCAAATATAGGTAGTAATAAAAACTGTCAAAATAATCTATTAGTAAACAAGCATTGAATTCATATTATATAAAATTGAAGTGTTTGGTCTAGTGGTAAAAGCGAAGTAACTATCAGCAAAGACAATATTCATTATACTGTGGACGATAAGAAGGGCCCGAAACTTGGCTGATGTAGGTAGTAGGTACCTATCTATTATTATAGTACTAATAAATAGGTACACAGCTTGAAAAATGAATTTGGTCTAGTTAACTTAGATTTTAAGATATGTCCATAAGTTCAATTAGATAAAAAGTTAAATCGTTTTTATATTTTTAAGTCAACAATCTTATGATTCTTACTTGATGAGTACAAATCCTAACTGTATAAAACTTTAATAAATTATAAAGCCCTTAAGCTAAAAATAAACACAGCAGATATTTATAAAACACTACACGAAGTAAAAGTTATTTACCCTAAGTTTCGTATATTTTTTCGCCACTTGAGAATTGTGTGCATTAATGCCGACCCAATTTAAACTTGTTTGCGAAGTATGAATGAAACCATTATTCCATTCCAATACGAATCTTCAATTGTTGAACATTCACGCAGTTGAAATACTTATTAAAATTTTATAATATACTAGCAGACCGGCCAAGCGTTGCTGTGGCTAAAGTTTTTGTTATATTACATAGTAGTAAACTATTCAAGGGAAACGGTAGGAGAACTTATGAGAAAGGTAGATGACAGCTTATGTGAAACGTTGATAATTTTAACACAGCGCCATCTGTTAGAATTGTATCAAATAATAAACAAATATTTTGCAATAAATTAAAATTGCGACTATAATTTGAGATTTAAACTATCCTATCTCTCAAGTTGGATCGAACTGCACATGGTGTGCAAATTTGATTGATATCGGTTCGGTAGTTTAGGAGTCCATTGAGGACAAACATTGTGACACGAGATTTATATATATTAAGATTTGATCACACGCGCTCGGCTTCTCATTTGTGCTGCATTGCGGGGGAAAATTACAATTATACAATATACTAGCTGATCCGGCAAACGTCATTTTGCCATGTATATCATTTATAATAAAAAATAGGGGTTGATCGTAGAGGGGTGAAAGTTAGGGGTTGTATGTATTTTTTTATGCTGTATCTTAAAAAAATAAAAAATAAGTAATTTATCTAAAAATTAAAAAAAATTATTTAGGGGTGGACTACCCTTAACATTTAGGGGGATGAAAAATAGATGTTGTCCGATTCTCAGACATACACAATAAACACACAAAATTTCATGAGAATCGGTCAAGCCGTTTCGGAGGAGTATTGCAACAAAAACTGTGACACGAGAATTTTATTATACAACTAGTGGACCCCACAGACGTTGTCCTGCATGATATTTAAAGCGATTAGGATATTAAGCAAAGTATGAAAGTACCGACTGCAGTGCCATCTGCCGGGCTGATTTGTAAATCTAAACCATTCCCAGATCCCCTTGAACACACACAAAAAATTTCATCAAAATCGGTCCAGTCGTTTGAGAGGAGTTCAGTCACATACACACGCACAGAAGAAATATATATATTAAGATTTATTTGTTATGAGTATTACATTTAGTTGGAATGTTAGATCGAATATTATTGGTTATTGTAAATATTTATTGATTTTCGGAAACCTTATAAGAAAGAAGTAATATTTAATACATACATAAAAAATAAAGTACATCTTATTACATTTCTTTTATCCTATTATTTGGTTATGCCACTCATTGCTGACTTCATGAGAAGACCAAAACAGTGGTTGCGGCCCCTTGGGTGTGGCGTTCTGGCGTAATATGTAAAACACAGGAACACGAATCATAAACACAAGCATAGAAAATTTATATTAATGGATAATGATACATCCTAAACAGCTGGACCGATTGTGATGACATTTTTTGTTAGACGTAGGTACAGGACAACGAATGTCGGGTACGCTACTGACTACAGCCCTGCGATTCTGTAACTCACTTTTCGAACTCACACAGCGGTTTTCGCATCGGCGGTCGCTCTGAAATCAGTCGTGAAGCAGTCATTTTATGATTTGGCATTCTAATAAACAATAAACCACAAGCTCCCACCTTTTCAGAATGCCAAATCATAAAATGACTGCTTCACGACTGATTTGAGAGCGACCGCCGATGCGAAAACCGCTGTGTGAGTTCGAAAAGTGAGTTACAGAATCGCAGGGCTGTAATGAAAATATAAAATATATTTAGAAAAAAGTAGGTACCTATTGTAGAATTTCATTTTATACATGTCAATTAAAATTTTAGAATCAAAAGATTACAGCACACAATGAAATAAAACTAATTATATCATATTCTTATATGAATAAATAACACAACGTTGGATAAGAGGTCACGCATTACGTTTTAACTCAAAAAGTAGTGAGAAAATAAACCCGCTTTTACTAACGAGCTGCCGACTTAAGGTTCTATAAAAGGTCCAAAGCCCAAACAAATATTCAAAGGCTTTTTATTTAAAAATAATAAGGCTCTGGCCTACATCTCACTTAATGTAGGCAAGATGAATATGTCTTTGCTGCACAGTGGAGCCTCCACTAATTATAACGTTTTAAGTAATTTACGCTTGCCTTGGCTGCTGTTGCATAGCAATATATTTTTAGTAGAATAGTCTTCAGTTATCTTCAGCCTGCAGTCATTAAGACCTTAATACGATATTGTCTTTGTTTGAACTTTTTATTTCTATGAAGTGTCGTAATTCAACAATTGGGTATAGGACAATCAGCATCAAGCTAGCTTTTTAAAGCAAGTAGTCTGTGCAACAAACGCTGTCGATTTTTAGGTAAAAGGACGTGCAGGTGAACAGAATGAAGGTAGGGTTATAAAAATCTTTTGGGTTACAGTTGTGTGACTATGCTCAGGCTTGGGCAAATCATCTTGCACACACCAACAAGTTTCACTACAGGAACGACAGAGATGTCGGACAAAACCTCTACCAGCGACCTGTGAGCGATATACAACCAGATATTACAGGTAAATTTTTATTGACACCTTTATCCACTTATTGCGATTTAAGCTATCGAATAGAATCAGATTATACATATAGGGTTATTTAAAAGAGGAGATTTTAAAACTTGTGAAATTAATTTTGTAGGATGCGTATATATATATGTGAGCACCATATATCTACATAATAATTTAGTTATCTGCTACATTGTTTTTCATAACACTATGCGCCTATTTTATGTAAGTATAGCATAGTCTTCACATATAATTATCAAAATATGTAAAAACTATTTTAGAAGAGTAAGTATAGAGTTTCTTGCGCATTTTTCTCCAGATGAAATTACCTTTTGAAAGGGGCAACTACAGTCATAATTTTTTTAATACATTTAACTTGTAATTTTGACTTTCCATTGCATGATTGGAGCATTGCATTTTTGGGGGGAAATATTTAACAGAAGGGTTATGAACACCGTCAAAAGACTATAACATTACCTACTTTAATTATTGTATATATGTAAACCTTAACACACATTAAAGACAAAAGATTAAGACAAAGCCTTGCCTTATCTTCTTTGCAGTGCCAATATTTTAATTAACGACCGATTATTTGTGCTCATGATTAAATCCTTGAAAAAAAAACAATACGATTACAATATAATTGTTTCAGGGCAAGAAGTGTCATCATATTGGTACGCAGCGGTGCGTCAATACAGGTTTTTCAAAGAGCCAGATGTTCTCCATGCTAATGTTAATGCGGGTAAGATATTGATCTTCGTTCCGATATCGCTAGGTTTGGTTCGATTCCTACTTTGAATTCTATTCTTGAAATTACGTTTTATTCCTTTAATGTACCTATCTATTAATTATTTACCAATATGTTAGTTCTACGTCGTACAACTTATTTTCCTATACTTAAAGGGCAAGGGCCAAGGCAAAGTTCTACATAAGATATAACGCATACTTATATGTATCAAATGAGCTACTTTAATAAACCTACAAACGGCTTTACTAGAAAATATTGTCTTTGTCACCTAATATATCTAAGGAATTTCTGTACCGGGGAAACAAATTTTTGTACACAGCAGATGGAACATAAACTTATGTGCCCATAACCAGCGGTTATAGTAATATAACCTAATATAATAAATTATTTGTCACCAACTCAGGTCACTTTACCCAAATGGTGTGGATATCGACTCGCTACTTTGGTGTCGGAAAAGCGCGTTCCCGCGCTGGAAAAGTAATAGTGGTGGCTAACTATTCACCACCTGGCAATAGTTCAGGCCAATTCGAGACCAATGTGCTTCCACCGCTTCCGGACAACACTCCCGAATTACCCCCAGAACAGTGACGAAGGTTCTCCATACGTGGTAGGAGACTTAGGATCGACGCCACGATGAATAGATAAGGAGTATCCTATAGAAGGCCTAAAGAAAGCATTTATTATACTGATGTGTTGAAACCGCTTCAGAATTGATATACTGGTACATTCATTATTCTTATCTTGACGAAAATAGTTGTTCCGGAAAGCCATTTCAGTATATATATTATTAGGAAACACAAAAGATTAGAACGTGTAGGTACTTTAGACTTTTAAAATCTACCGAGGTTAGGTTAGTAACAAGCCCGTTCGCACGAAGTCTAGAAATAAAAGTGAGTCAACGCCGGTGTTGCCATGCTTTATATAGGTTTCTGCTACAAGATGGCGTTAGTCCGCTAACACGGCCTCTCCTGACACCCTGACGTCCTCGTCAGGATTTGATGTCCCAGCGTCTATACTGTCATCTCTGTGGGTAGAATAGAACGTTAGAAAATTACAGTTCTGGGAAGGTATTGCGTCGTCTATTTGGTCAGCAGCTGAACATATTTACTTGGTTTAGTACAAACAATCAAAGTTATGAAAGATAGAAAGGACCTTTAAAGTATCAGACTCCAAGGAATGAGTGCAAGATTATTTATAACCCTTACAAGATTTGAAACAAACTATCACTTTCATGTGTAAAGGACTTGTGTAAACAATTACAAGTTTAGTGTCACCATAAGGTATAAAGGTGTACTTATTTCTCAAGAAGATCGTGAGTTTGGGGCTGGTTACCCTGTCCATTGATCTTTTTACCATTCATAAAGGAAGATCGTGAGTTTGGGGCTGGTTACCCTGTCCATTTATCTTTTTACCATTCATACAGGAAGATCATGAGTTTGGGGCTAGTTACCCTGTCCATTGATCTTTTTACCATTAATACAGGAAGATCGTGAGTTTGGGGCTGGTTAACCTGTCCATTGATCTTGTTACCATTTATACAGGAAGATCGTGAGTTTGGGGCTGGCTACCCTGTCCATTGATCTTTTTACAATTTATACAGGAAGATCGTGAGTTTGGGACTGGTTACCCTGTCCATTGATCTTTTTACCATTTATACAGGAAGATCGTGAGTTTGGGGCTGGTTACCCTGTCCATTGATCTTTCAAAAAGCAAATACATATTACAGAATTAGATAGCTTCAGACTTAACACAAATAAAGATAAAACTCAGCATATTTGCAATACACCGTCGTATCGACAGTGGCTCCTAGTGCTCTCATAACCGACAATTTTTTAAAACAGAGACTCATACATTTTGCATGTTCTCTAAGTGGTCTAAACACATTAGCACCAGAAAAACTTAAAACAGAGACCCATACACTTGTATGTTCTCAAAGTGGTCTAAACACATTAGCACCACAAAAATTTAAAACAGAAACCCATACCTTTGCATGTTCTTAATAACAAAGACCAGATCATCCTTCTGGAATTTACAAGGGGGGGTCTACGACCCACATAAACGACAGTGTCCTGATTGATTTGACTGTTCTTCAACCGTTCGGCCGTCCTCTGTCAAAGCATCTCTCGTCTACCTTGCCGACTAGACGATCCCGAATTTAATGCGACACTGTTGCACTCTCATGACAAACACAAACAACACTTTAACACAAAGAGCACTTTTAAAATGTTAATCACTCGTGACTTCGTACATTACGGACACAAAGAGAAGGAACATTTAAACCACAAAGATTACTCAAAACAAAACAAAAGAGAAGTGAGCGAAAAGTTCAAATCCCAATTCTGATATTAGGAAACACAAAAGATTAGAACGTGTAGGTACTTTAGACTTTTAAAATCTACCGAGGTTAGGTTAGTAACAAGCCCGTTCGCACGAAGTCTAGAAATAAAAGTGAGTCAACGCCGGTGTTGCCATGCTTTATATAGGTTTCTGCTACAAGATGGCGTTAGTCCGCTAACAATATTATAAATTTTATAACACCTAGAAACGATTCAATTAAATCTCAATTGTCGAATGTCGAGCGATCAAAAGTCGATATTTTTTTTCTCTTACAGATCACACAATTTTAATATTTTTATCGTGACCCTTTATTATTTTACTTACAGAGATTAAGAACTATACTTTTTGATAAAAACATTTTTTTATAAAATGGTTATTTTGGGTTTCCTTAGCCAAACGAACATGACTGAAATATAAAAATCACATTTTCAAACATTTAATATTATTTCAAATAGGATTAAAATATATGTGTAGTCTTTAGTAGTTAATTAGGCTTGAAATGTTATAAAAATTATTAGAAAATGGTTGTTTCGCCTGAGCTTACATTTGATAACAGTTTTTGCTAAAAGCAATAATTTTATGCACATTTTAAATACATCGAGATTAATATTAAGGTTAGTTATTCCAGCCCAAAATCAAATAAAACCTTGTCAGTTTTCCAGTCTTTAAAATACTTAGAAGCAAAGATATATAAGCTTGTTTTATCACAAGTACAATAATAACAGATTGAGAGTTTGACTCAGTCGCAATATCTTGGTGCTTAGCCTTATAGGACAATGCAGAAGCTAAAATAGCTCATATTAAGAAAAAAAGATAGACATGACATTCCTAAGCGTAGATATTGTGAATGAGTGCTATATATCTCCAGCTAAGTCTCCTTTTTTATGAAAGTATGTGATACAAGCATAGCTTTTATTACCAATCTGCATATAGAATAGTTTTAAATCTATGCTCTTCCCTTCACCCAACATCCGTCTTCCCCTAAGGTTGATATTCTTATGTACACTTGTTAAATATTATCCTGTCTAGGTATAGATTTTCAAAAGTATTTTAATACAGATAGCACTAAACTTAACCAAAATCCTTTAGTTATGGAAATACCAATTGCAAACATTTTATCCACAAATGTTTGTCATCTGCAAATTTAGGGCTAATGATGATGCAGCTGTCTTGCCAGCCTATAATGTTCTTTCAAAGTCAACTTATTAAAACAAGTATTTAGTAGTTTTAATAAGTTTGGTGCTATCTGTAATGTTGTTATTTAGATGTAGGTATGGCCTAGAGTTATTAGAATTGTCCAATAAGATAATTTAAGAATTGTTTGTTTTAGATTTATTTTTATTTAGCATATGCCAAACAATGCCTAATTTGTTTACTAAATTAAAAAAAAAACTTGCATAATTAATAAAATAAGTAGTTGTTTAAAAATTGTTGTAGTAAATTTTCTAGTTATTGATTTTTACCTTTAATTTTTATGCTCACAATTTTAATTACTATTGTTAAATTACCTGTTATAAATATAGGGTTTTATTGTAAGACATAGGTTGCCTACTAAATAAATTTAGAATATAGATGCTTATGATAAAAAGCCTGTGTAACGAGAGAATATTATTATAGTAATTGTTATTTGTATAAAAAGTTCAACTAAGTTATATTATACAAGTAGCAATGTGATTTTTTAAAACATCACATATAGCCTTTACAACATAGTTTAGATAAATTTTTGTACTGTATATTTCCTTTGCAAACATGTCATCTGAAAGAGATGTATATTAGATTTATTTCTAACAATATGTTAATATACAAATATTCTTTAAGCATTTTATTTGGTCTCAATTTGACTGATTTATGATTTTTTTTATTAATATTTACTTATTAGTTTCATAAGTAATGGCTGTGAATTGTTAACTGATATACTAATATGTGGCTTGGCAATATTTTAAGTTGAATATAAAAAAATAGTATTAATTTCTTGTTTTAATTAAAACAACATGAAGGATTCCTAATAGTATCACAATCTTGTTGGGTATTTTGGTAAAAAATATAAGCAGGGAGAAAAACAATATCTTTATTTTGCTTTATAATTAATACAATACCCCTACAATATATTCACTCAGTCCATCTGTGTTTGCAACTTGTACATACATAATAAAGTCTCATTTCTTCTTCTGCTCGTCTTGTCTGACCTTGGAAGAACACAGCTTCACGATGATTGCATTTTGGGCACATGTGATCTTTTGTTCTGGGCAATGTGGGATCACTCACGACATCAGGATTTATATGAGTTAATTCGTCAACTTCGTGCATAATTTTGTTAACATACACACAATTCGAATCGGCTAACTGTTTGTAGTCGCAATTTCTACAGGCATATAGCAGAACTTTATTGTTTTTATCTTCGCGCGGGTAAAGCATGTTATTACATTCTTGGCAAAACTGAATACCAACATACCCGGGCCCTCCATCTTTTCTTCCTAGGTTAAGGGTCATCGTGATATTAAGGGAAATAATCTCGTTTCACTAATCGTTTCGCCAGTAGTTTTTTTTTATAAATAACAATAAGAAGTTTTCTCGAAAAACATCAACAATGTTTTCAATTCAATTAACACCTCAATTGTTAATTGAAAACTGTCAAGCTGTTCAATGTGTCAATGTCAATTAATAGACAATCAAACTAATTTGACATTGCAATGATCACATTCTTGTTTTATTTGGTTTAAATTCGAAATATAAAGTAAGAGCCATAGACAAATAAGCTTTTATTTAGTTTACTGCCACTTTTTTGGCAAAATAAAATGTATTTAAAAGGATGAAGTGGTACGAAAAAATAGCACTGTTACTACTTTTGTTTACAGTTATGCAGGTTTGGCGAAATGGCACGATTCCCAAACAATGATACATCAATCGCCTTAACAACGACTAAGCAACTTTATGTTAAAGCATGGAAAAAAAACAACACGGAACTTGGTTTTAATGAAAGTAGCCACTAGCCAGCTTGAGATGAAGTCCACTTCCTCAATTGAATTAAAATGTTTCAAAAAACCTATTAAAAAAAAATAGTGCGTGTACTAATGTACGCGCGTAAGAAGTTGTACTTCTTAGGCTTTCTTTATTTTTTTTTAAATATTAAATAATTAATAATAAATATTTAACGTTAATAATTTAGTAATATTTAATATTTAGTACATTATTCAATTATAAATTAATACTAATAATAATAATTATTATTATTTATTATATTATTAATTCAATTTAAAAACTAGGTGGTATGTTTCATAACCTTTTAACTAAGTAACAATAGGTTTTTGTGAAAAAGCATTGCTAAATTTCTTTGAAAAAGTAATTAAAACTCCTTTATTTGTTTAAAAGGTAAATGTCATTATGGTCATTCAAAATTCTTGGCATAGCTGCTAACTTCACGCATATTCTATTTATTTTTACTTATAGATTGTCTTATTCCCATCTCGCTCGCGCATGCTCGGCGCCCATACTAATAATTTTGTGTCACGGTGCGCGCATCGTAAAATTTCACTCTCATCAATTTTTCATAACGCGCCTAAAGAAGTATAACTTCAAAATTCTTCCTTTAATCAATAGATTTATTTGTATCTTATCCTTTTTCATAGCTCTGTAGTTTGAATTCTATGTTTAAAACTTTATGTGTTTTCATAAGCGGGGTAATAAAATAAATAAATTATTTGGAATGTTCGGCAATTCTATATGACTTAAAATTTTAAAACTTATGTATAATTCTTGATTTTTATTGAACTTTAGGTGACTCTTGTAAAAGTGTATTACCAATTTCTAAAATTAAATTAAATTGTTTTAATAATTATGTACTTAATATTTCTTTTTGTAGATTAAACAAACATACATATTATGAAATGTTGTAGACGGTTAAAAATTACATTTATATAATTTTATTAATACGTGTTAAAAGTTTGAAATTATTCTTTGAACTTTTATTAGAATGTATGTATGTATATTATCAATACTAATCTGGCAACACATTTTTTCTTCTTCAGTTGGCTGCCATGTGCCATAGATCCTTATGGTTGGCAATTTTTATTTCTTTTCCTATCCGTAGCCGATTGGTATCACGCTATCCAAATGGGTAAGCGGTAGTTTTGCGCCAATTTATTGTAGTTTTAATAATAAATTCCTGTACTTTGTGTTAAAAAGTGTGTAAATAAGTTTAGCGACTCAGAAGTGGAAATTACTACCTCAATTAGCTGTATATAATGTTGTGTTAAAAATATCTGCATGCCTAGGTGTCGGCCATGGCGTAGACATGTTTTTCTCGTGGTGCATAATCAAATCCCTTTGAATCTTGTAAAATTGCCATTGATTTTGAGGTACAAGAATGTATTCTCTGAGCATGAAGTGTTGATCGAAGTGTTGAGTGTTGATTTTCGTGTTGCTCCAAAACATTGGTTAGAACCGGTGACTTCAATTTACAGGTAAACCCCGCGGTATACGTACGGCTCGTAAGCACGTGAACCACCGTCGTGAGCAGCGATGGGCGGACAAGGAGTTCAAGAAAGCCCACATGGGTACAAGATGGAAGGCCAATCCATTTGGTGGAGCCTCACACGCTAAGGGCATCGTTTTGGAGAAGGTGTAAGTAGTAAAATCTCTTTTACTGTATTTCGGTGTTATGAAGAAACGTAAAGAAGATATCAACTGTTCATAGCGTTCCTGCGCGCTGTATTATTTCTGTGAATGTGTTTTTATCTACAATCACAGGATAATACTGCGAGTAGTAGCGTCCTGCGCGTCGTCGAGGATCACACGTGGGTCAATGACCTCTGGAGCGTGCTGTTTACAGTTTGAAAAAGTTCATTGATAACTGTTTTGTTTGTGTTCTCTACAACTACTACTTTCTGTTAACTGTATTTCCATTTCTACAATTGTAAAGTCCAATAATAAATTACTGCAGTTGACTTCTAAACAAGAAACATGATAATTTCTTAAAACATAATATATAAAAGTGAACTCATGAACGGCATGTCATTAATTTATTACAGAGGTGTTGAAGCCAAACAGCCTAACTCGGCTATTCGCAAGTGTGTCAGAGTTCAACTGATCAAAAACGGCAAGAAAGTAACGGCCTTCGTACCTCGTGATGGTTGCCTTAACCACATTGAAGAGAATGACGAAGTATTAGTAGCAGGATTCGGTCGTAAGGGTCATGCTGTTGGTGACATTCCCGGAGTTCGGTTTAAGGTAAGTTTTACAACTTGTTGATTATTTTGTGTTTTTTTTATAACTTTGTATCTAGAAATTTGATTTGGTTTGGAATAGTAAATATGTATAATAAAGTTGTGAAACCATATAATCAGGTTTATGCCTATGTGGTTGTACCATCTCTTTTTTGAAGCTATATAATTTGTTTCATTGAGAACCTGTAACTTGATACATAAAATGTAAAGAATGTTGCAATTAGTGTAATTTTAATAATAAATTACAATTTTGAGATTTCTTGGTTTTGTTGATGATGAATTGCCAATGAGTTGGGAGTATTTGCTTCTCTGACTGCCATGAATGCATCGCACAGACTGAGTTAGACATAGTTCTTTGTAATATTAATATTTATTCATCAATTTTAAAATTTTTGTTGACTTTCAGGTTGTCAAAGTTGCAAATGTGTCGTTGCTAGCTCTGTACAAGGAGAAAAAGGAGAGGCCCAGGTCATAGGTCATACATTGTGATAAGGTAAACCCACAACAAATTTTATTTCTATTCGATTTTAAATGTTCAGGATATTTCGATATTTTTTTTATAATAAATCTTGAGATTATACTATATACAAATTATATGATTTAAAATAATTCTTATTTATTACTGGGTGTTATGAGCAGCTTTGTCAATAGATTTTTAAATGAAATGATGTAATCTTTATTTGCTACTACTGAGTGCCATGACGCTAAACTTTTCTGATTATTATGAAATATGAACATTTCCCAGAATAGCTCAATCAATCATTGATGTTTTACCTTGTCTTCTCTTTTGTTTCAGTGCAGCGTCGCTCTTAAGTGTAAATTTTTTAAATTGTTAAAATCAAGTATGCAATAAAACTGTGTACGACCACTTTTTCTTTCATTTATAGAATTATAGCTACACCATCTTCAATTCACATTCCCAAAATAAAAATCCATAAATTTAGTCACTGCCAGATTTTAGAAAGATCTAATACAGTTAATAAAACTAAAATAAAAGCAATTAGAATTAGTTAATGATTATATTTCTTAAAGTATTACATACATTGATTACAAGTAACACTGTTAGCTATTAAAATAGATCTATACATTTTTAAATTTCGTTCTAGGCAAGAAGAGTTAATATTAGAGAATATAATTATGAAAACTATATTAATATGAATTGTTTTTTGATTTGTTAATATTAAATTGATGACAGCTATTTATATTATAACTTTAATACTTCACTTTGAATAACGGATTATATTGCTTATGTATTAGCATAGCAGAATCGAATACGGTAAAACTTACCTAATATATTATAAACAAATAAAAATATATAGTTTATAAGAAAGTACTTACATTTGTACCATCACATAAATTGCCTCACAAAATAATACAATATCCACAATTACAAAATACATACTTTTAGATTACATTTATTATTAAAATAATTTAAATAAAAGGCACGTCTTTACATAATGACTAAACCTAGATTCAATAAAAGTATATAGAATGTATGGGAAACCACTTAAATTCGAATCGCCAATTCTCACTCTACTTAGGTTTTCCCCACACCATATTAAACAAACAATATTGATGTGATATAAAAATGGAATGGACTATTAATTGCAAATAAAGAGTGCTTAAAACTAGTGAGTGAGCTCTCGATTCTGTACATAATTTTTAAATATTAGAACCCTTTTCGTTGTATTATATGACATTGAGATTACAATTCTAGTGCAATAATACTATATTATTTCGTACGTATCTATCTAATTATACGGTTAAATCGAGATTAATAGTTTTATAGCAAGAATAGTTGCAGGATTGAATTTGAACTAAACACGCAAAAGCCAAATCGAAATTCCAAAAATACATCACCTATTTCACACATCACAGTTAATACGTCAGTACGTAGATTCTTATATTTATGCTCTTCAAAACCTTACTCTTAAACTACAAATCCGAATAAGAGATACAAATAAAATTTTATTAAAGTTAGTTCAAAATAGTATATTAAAAATAATTTCGCGGTTTATTTATTGTTTGGCAAAGCGTGGCTTATATTATTCTACTTAAACTATTTACTATTGAGCTAAAAGACAGAAAGCGATAATTTAGTGTTTTAGTTAATACAATTTGCTACCACTGGAAACTAAACTTATTAAACTAAAAATTATTCACTTAATCTAAAAACATCAAAATATTTACATATACACAAAACCAATGATCCGGACTTATTAAAAATATATGTATAAGACACACATGTAAAGTAAATACAATTTTATCGAATTTAACATTTTTTGATTTGTTTAAAACAATATGGCGCTTGGCTGTCATAGATAATTAAAACCTAATTAATAGTAATTTCGAGTAATCAGGATGAGGTTGTAAACTGTAAAAATAGCAAATATACTGAGTGCCTAAATTGATAAATTTTGCTAAAATCTAATTTATACTGTATTGCGGCGGCGCTCACGTTTGGAGACACCATCGTTGAATTTTGGGCGCGCTGACCTCTGAAAGTAACATAAAAAATTAACGACACAAATCACTCAATATTTTTACTAGGCAATCGAAAATATTTAACGAACGAGAAATAGAAAATTTTCCAACTAGGACACGTTTGCTAAATACAGAATTAATAGCTGAGCGGAGGCTTTAGACAAAATCTTTTTAACAGGCGTGACACACTCGCGTGCTAAACGAATTTGTATGGAATATATATATGTATATCGAAAAGTGATTTGTCTTAAGCCCCAGGCGAACTTTATATCGCTATAATAAGTAAGCCTTTAAGCTAACTCAATGTAAAATTGTCTATGATACCAATATCTATAAAATTATTCTTGTCTATGACGTTGAAAATAATGTAGAAGCAGGCCATAAAATTAAAAAAAATTTAGAAGCTGTTCTCTATATTATTAACAATTTATTTAGAAGTTTTTAACTTAATCTCTACGATATTTCTACTATTCGGAGTGATAACTAATCTAACAAAATAAATATCATCAACAAATGTAGAACCGTGCGGGCGCCGCACGATTTCACTTTCTAGCGGTTGAGAGGCGGTAACCGCGCGATTATGTGTGGTTGATTATATAAACACCTACGTAAATAAGATCCGCGCGGTTCCCGCCATGTCAGAACTAGGCCTTAGCGTTAGTGGCGAATACAGATATCAATCGCCAATGACGTCATTACGACAAAAACATAATATCAACAAATTGTAATAGTACTTACAGTGAGCGGCGCCGGTCTTGGCTACGTATACGAAGAGGCAGACACGTAGTCCATAGTTTTGATGTACGCGACGGCTGAGCAAAACTGAGTCCACCAGTACAAGGCTTCGCCGGACAACACGCTGCCTCCTAACGCGTTCACCAGCTCGATCGTCGATAATAAAGATGGCGGATTCACCTAGAAATGGAATTTACTTTTTGTATAATCTATACAATTAAAAATAAATCGCGAAAAATATTGCTAAGGGCCAATTGAAGTAATTTTTATTCCTAGAACTCTGATATTATGGAGAAAAAAATTGAAAAATTGCAGGGAGATACTCAAAACCAATTTTCTTTTTTTGAAGCATAGCAAAGTAAAAACTCATGGAGCAGTAGCAATATTAATTTACGTAATAAAATATTTATTTTATTTACAACTTATCTATTAATTCAATTAATAACAGAAGTATTGTTCTATTAGTTCAGCGTCTTTGTATTTAATGGGAAAAACAATTTATGAACGCACAGAAGGGAGTAGTACTTTGATTAGTAAAAATATAAGAGCATTTTCTCTTTTCAGTCCTAGATTACATACATATAAAGACCAGTTTTTCCAACGTGGCGTGGCCCACGCCCCATATATTTGGGGGAAAATTTGATAAAGGGGCTATTCACAAATTTATTTAAATTATTTGGAATTCAAAATTCAGTTTTTCATTATATGTTTTGAAAATTAAATGATGCTGTGTTTCGTCAACAATTTTCTAGTAAATTCTTCCTAAAACCTATCATTTAAGTTTCTTAAGTGAACAATGCAATTGTTTAATATTAAAAAATTGTGTTTTATAAGAATTTTAGAAAGGATAATCTAGAGGGTAGGCACAAAACAGGTTGGAGTACAATGATATAGACTCTAGTAGAAAACAATTGAAAAAGACAAATAATTTAAGAAATATGAAAAATAAATATACTTTACCTTTAGAATGACGAATACCAAAACGGGTGTAAGATCGTCAGCGGCCGGAGGCGAACCGTCAGTTAGAGAAAGAACCGACATTAGAGAAGAGACCACTCGCATTATACACGACACCTGAAAGTCAAGCACTTTGATATAAGTTGAGATGCGGCCTATATCAGGGGACGCCTGTCCAGGAGATGACTAATGAACCTATGTTATATCTCCATACATATAAAATTCTCGTGTCACAATGTTCGTTCCCATACTCCTCCGAAACGACTCGACCGATTCTTATGAAATTTTTTATGCATATTCAGTAAGTCTGAGAATCGGACATCTATTTTTTATTCCCCTAAATGTGAAGGATGGTCCCCCTCTCCTCTGAACACTCCGCGGTAAATGCGGTAGAAGATGCAGAGTGACCCCACATCTCTACGCAACAAATTTAACGTAGAAATTATTATAATACTAATGTAATACTACCAGTATATCTATATGAACAATATGAAGTAACTACTAGCCTTGTCCCTCGGAGTCCTATAGACGGGCAGATGCCTGAGCAAGAGCTGGGCGTGAGGGAAAGGCGCCGCCCACAAGTGCCTGGGGGCCACGCCCGCTCGCACTGCGTTCGTGCACGCGGACAGTCGACGCATGTGTTCGCTCAGCACCCTGGCGATAAATTAATAAAATTGAAAAAGGAAAGAAATATCTCATTATTATTAACTAAACATACCGATACGTGTATATTAAAGAAATAATTGAATAATAAATAATTTTGTTAAAAAAGCTACTATTCAGTCTTTTAATCAGAATATATTTTTCTCACAATTTCTAGATAATATAAATAAAAATGATAATTAGCTATAAACCTTCTACAATCAATCTGTCCAAATTGTTTTGAAAAAATCCGTTATTAGACAAGAAAGCGTGTCACGTGATTAAAAAGTTATACCTAAATAGATATTGCTAATTGTTTTCATTAAATAGTAGTTACAATATCTATCTATCAGAAAATTAAATCAATGACCTAAATTTTTTCTGATTTTGTAACTTTAACACAATATAAACAAAATATTTAAAGTATTTCTTACTGATCGCGAGCGATGTCTCCGTCGCCATTAGGAAAGAGCACTTGCAAGTAGAGTCGTGCAAATACAGCTCTCTCCACAGTTATCTCCGCGCTCTCTAGGACCGTTGGGGTTGCTCCTACACAAAACAACCGTAATCGTTACCTTGCATATGTACAACACTGCATATGTATTACATAATAAGACAATAAAATAAATCCAAATTTAAGATTGAATTATTATGGTG